GGGGTTGAACTTCTACCGGGAAATTCACTTTTTGACTTAGAATATGCCGATGACATAGTTCTATTTGGTGAAGACGCTGACAAAATGTAGAGTCTGTTGACCACCGTAAGCAACCATGCAGGCATGTTCGGGATGCGATTTTCTCCCTCGAAATGCGAAATGTTGCTTCAGGATTGGGTTGTATCGACACCCGAACTAGTGATAGGAAGTGAAGTAGTTGAGCGTGTCGACCGCTTCACTTATCTTGGAAGTCTCATCAGCCCTTGTGGTCTGATGTGTGACGAAATCTCGGCACAGATACAGAAGGCTCGACTAGCTTTTGTCAACTTGCGTCATTTGTGGCGTAGGCGAGATATCCGTCTATCAACCAAAGGACGGGTTTACTGCGCAGCAGTTCGTTCCGTCCAACTTTATGGCAGTGAAACATGGCCGGTAAGAGTAGAGGATATTCGTAGGTTACTAGTATTCGACCATAGATGTCTTCGAAACATTGCTCGTATATCCTGGGATCATCGAGTAAGTAACGCAGTTGCTAGGAAACGGGCACTAGGTAAGGATGGCAAATCAATTGATGAAGTAGCGAAACTTGATCAGTTGAGATGGCTGGGACATGTGTTGCGCATGCCCGACCACCGACTGCCCCGACTTGTGATGTTTTCTGGTGTAGGAGTAGGTTTGAAGAAATCTAGGGGCGGTCAGACCAAAATATGGCACAAATCCATGAAGTCACTTACAAGTGGACTGAGCCATGTTGGTATGTGTAGACTACCTGATTGGGGACCGCGAGATGATAGCAACCGATGGTTAGAGATCTTGAATGACATGGCTCAAAATCGTTTGCAATGGCGCAGGTGCATCCACTCTCTGTGTTCTCTTAAATTCTAATCTTCCGAATTCTTCATGTCGTTTATTTTCCTTCCAAATATATTCCATTGGATTATACTCCTTAAATAACATCATTAAACCTTAATGTTCCCCATCACTACTTATACTTTCGCTACCTCTATCACTACTGGATGTGAATCGACAACTGCATTTCTGTGCTAATATTGTATGCTCTTCTTCACTTGCTTGTTTGCTTCAGTGTATTCAGCTTGTGCCTTCACTTTCTCTGTTCTTATTCGGCTGTTTTTAATTGTCTTCTTCTTATTCTTCCTTTCTTGAGTCTTGTCCAGTGTTTCGATAGAGATTCATTCCTTATGATGATGGTTGTTGCGGCCCAGAATCTCCCGACACGCGGAAGTGTGTGCTTCTTTTATCCGTTTCCAGTTGTCCTCCATAATAGTTTCTCCTTTGAGTAAATCCTGTAAGGCTTGGAACCCGTTGTTGATAGCTACCTTGAATTTGTTGAGTTTGTCAGTACTCCGAAGGAAGGCTGTATTGAACCTTTGTAATGCTGTTTTTCCAGTTGTTCATTAATTCTTTAGCTTCAGTTTCATCTTGACAAGCACCAGGTGGTGATCCGAAGCTATGTCAGCTCCTCTCTCGGTTCTCATATCTTCCACTGACCTTGTGAATTTTTACTGATGCAAATATGATCTATCTGGTTCTCTGTAGCGTGATTTGGTGAGACCCATGTAGCATTGTGTGTGTGTTTGTGTGGGAATATTGTGCTGCCTGCAATCAATTTGTTGAATGAACGTGAATTTGCAAGTCTCTCATCATTCTCGTTTCTTTCTCCCAGTCTGTCCATGTTGTCCCATGATATATTCATATCCAGTGTTGTCCATTCCGACTTTGACGTTTAGATCTCCCACCAGGACGGTCAGGTTCTTTTTCGGTGCACTTCGTTATGATCGATTGCAGCCTCTCGTAGAACTGATCTTTACCGTCTTCGTTGTTGTCAATGGTGGATGCATGACATTGGATAAAGTTAACTATGATTCCCTCCTTCTTTCTTTTGAGAGATGCTTTGATGATCCTAGATCCATGAGATTCCCATGCAACAAATGCATTTCGTGCTTCTTTGGACAACATCAGAGCAACTCGCTGAGTGTGCGAACCAGTTTCCTTTCCATGACCGGAGTACAGTAGCATCTCTCCAGCATCCAGCCTCTGCTGTCCAGCCTGGGTGCAATAGGTTTCGCTGATTTCGAGAACCGCTAAGTTGTATCTCGTCATTCTCATAGCTATTTGGTTGATCCTCCCGGTCTTCCACATTGTCCGGACGTTCCGTGTACCTATGTTAATTGTTGCTGTGGTTGTTAGAAGGGGCGTTGTGACTTCCGAAGAATCTCGGCTTTCATCATGAGGCGTCATAATTCTTCCTTTAACTCGGAGGGCAGAGTTTCAATGGTTTAATCTGTTTATTCTGGTTAGCGTTATTTTAGCAAGGTTGTTTTCTATGAGATGTGGTTGCTGGCCCTACACCCAACCTACCTCTTTTCTGTGGGCTTGTGACCGGCGGTAGCCCTAGAAGAGCGACAGGTGGAGTTTGCGTCACTTGTGGCGTAGACGAAATATCCGTCTTTAAACCAAGGGACGGATTTACTAACCAACTGCTGCCTCTGTTTCACTTTATGAGTGGGAAAGTTGACCATTAAAGATAAAGCATATTCCTACGTTAGTAGTTTTCGATCGTATGTGTCTTCGAAGCATTGCTGGTATATTTTGGGATTACCGAGTAAGAAATGTCTGGGTTAAGAATAAAGTACTGGGTAAGGATGGCTAATCCATTGATGGAATAGTAAATTTTCATCAGCTGACGTGGTTGGAACATGTTTTGTGCATAACCACCGTATACCTCGAAGAGCGATATTTACCAGGAGGAATAGTCTGGAAGAAAGCTAGGGTCTTATTTATTTAAATACATAACCACTGGTACAAGGCGGCACCAAATACATATGCGTCACACCATAACAATAAGGTTGTTAAGCGATAGATAATGTAAAGCCTGACAATAAAAAGAACAGCAAACAGAAATTAGTGTATGAGAGTGGAATAATGATAATAATAATAATAACAAGAGAAATAGTTCATTTAGGGGAAATACGAGCAGAAACAATACTTTTAACTACAGAAGTAACGTTCATTTTTATGAAGAAAGTAAAAAAAAGTTTCAGTAGGATCGCCACTGGCTTCTATTCTGAGCCGATTCAGCTTTCACTATTCGTGAATTAATCTCATCACTCGCCATCACCAGCACTTACGCAGTGCCGGGTCCTGTCAGTCCTATAAAAGTGCTTTGCACTCCGAAGGTGCAAAGCACATTCCATAACTACGGACACTGATTGCCAACTGATTTAGTGCGGATTGCATGGATCGGGTATTATTACACAGTAAGATAAAATCATCCGCATACTCGAGGACGAGAAGTTTTTCTCCAGACAACAGATTCAAACCACCATTACTTACATCCATCAGAGCTGTTTCCAGAACGCCATCGATGGCCAAGTTGGGGAGGGATGGTGAGATTGGGCAACCCTGACTAACCCTACTGCTTGAATGGAACAATGGAGAGATGTGGTTTTATTCCCTTACTCTGTCTGAGGTGTTAGTATATAAGGCTTTCAAGATGTTGATAATGTTTTCAGGCAGACTCTTCTTCAACAGACAATCCCAGAGAACAGTCTTGTCAAACGAATCGAAGGCAGCCCTGATGTCAAGAAACACTATGATTGTTGGCCTTTGATAAGTATGACGGTGTTCTAACATTTTGTGGAGAGTGAAGATATGATCAAAACATCCTCGACCAGGACGAAAACCAGCCTGCTCCTCGCGAGTCAATCTTTCTCGGGTTTTGAACAATCTACGAAGTATAACGGAAGCCAATAGTTTGAACTCAATAGGAAGTAGACCTATCCTCCGATAGTTGTTGCAGAAATGACGCGAACCATTTTTAAAGATAGATAGGGAGAACTATCGACTCGTTCCATGATGTTGGAACACTCGCTAACTTTCAAACCTTTGTTAGCAACTCAGTCAGTTCATTAACTAGAAGGTGGTAGGAGGTAAGTTAAATGGTCCTGGCGATTTGTGGTGCTTCGGGAGTTGGAGTTTTTTACGGAGTTCCGCCTTATTAGGTGGGTCAGTCATCATGAGCCATGGAGGGCAGAACAGTCTGGTCGATGTTACCGGGGCAGCAAACCAATGATAACTACGACCGGAGAAGTCAAGGAGTGGTCAAATCAAAACTTGGCACTAGTTCAGGAAGTCATTGGGAACTGAAATGAGGCATGTAAATAAATGTAGACTACCTGGTTGGGGTCCGCGTGATTGTCGTAACCAATGACTAGAGACCGAATGATGTAAATCAAAGTCGTTTAGAAAGGCGCAGGAGCATTCATTCCTTGTCTTCTAAATTTTTTGATAATTTGTATTTTCTTAAATCGTATCTTCGATGCCCAATTTTTTTATTACCACTGATGCTGTTACTACCCATACTATTCTGGGATTTGACCTGACAATGTTTCCTCTCTCTGCCATGGAGTATGGCAACTTTAACCCATGTCCACACCTAGAAGGTTCTACATTGTTACTGACTAAGTGACTGATAAATGTCTATTAAATAGTATAACGTTATAAATTTAATAAAGTAATTTTTCTACACATTTTCATCACACAGTATAATATAATAACAAATTTTTCATACTTCACGTCAAAATACCGTTTTTTTTTTTGGTTGTTAATTTTTCTTGAAGCAACTAAGTATGTTTATTCACTCCTGTGTGAATATTCGCGCCTAGTAAAATAACTTTAGTAAAAAGGTTTAGGAACTTTTTGTATTAAATAGTAAGGGTTGTCCATGGATATACCTAAGTTGCTACTGACGGACTGATGGTAATTTAAAAGCTCTGTAGGTCTTTAGGTAACCAAATTACGTGTTTTACCTGATCGATCTAATATCCCTGTTTTTAAAGTTCGCTAACAAAGTTGGTTCAAGCCGAAGACCGTCAGAGTGAGTTGAAGTTTTAACTGATTAGAAAATGCTTTATCAAGTATATTCACATGTATATAAATCTGAAGAATCAATTTCAACACAAAATTTTATGTCTTTCTAGTTTACCATGCCATGACTCCTTTCTGCGGAATAACCTCATTGAGTGCTCCAAACTATAGACTGGATTCTTCTAATCTCGTCTTGACTTCTATTAAAGGTGCTATGCGATATCCTGAATTTCTTACAAGCTCACAGTTGCCTCTTTTGTGTACAGTTTTGGGTCAGCTGCGAAGTTTTGAACTTACAACTGGAATGCTTGATCCTGCGAGTGGAAAAGTTGTAGGTTTTCTGTGTTTTTGAAATTCGTATATTTTTAGTTCTAGAAATGTAGAAAAAAAAAGATGAGCAAATTTAAATTAAATTGTTACGGGATTAATATTATGCTGACAACTATTTTGCAATGTTATTATATTTTAGGTGACCGAACATTTGACAACAGAGATAATGCTCTCAACAAATGTTCATCTTAGAATCTGATATGCGACACCTACTTATTACATAGAGTGACTGGGAGTTTTATGCATTCCAAACTAAAATTATGGAAAAAAATGTTATTCAGCAGTCAGTTACTATCGCACATACTGGGCTCTAACCTACACATAGTGTATGGTGTCCAACAATACTGTCTGAACTGAAATAGGATATTTTCGGATTGTTAACTTAACGGCTAATTTGAGTTTCTGGACTACTGATACAACTATTTGTTTTAAAGATACTATACTAGTTACGAGGTCGCGTTGAAATGATTTATGAGACCTAAACAGCAATACAATTGTTCGACTATGGTTCTAAAAGTAAAAACCTGCATAACCGTGAACTAGTAGACTGACTCTTAGAAGTATTTCCGTCAATAAAAATAAAGGTGGTTGGGGATTTAATTACTGTATTCGTACAGATCTCAGAGAGAAATCGATCTCACCGCACTATCGCTGATTTTACCTATAATCCTAACCAAAATCTGTATGTAGTTTTCTTTATCCCCCATTAACTTCGATGACTTACCTGATTAATATACTGACTTGTACTTGCAAGTATGTTGTATATTGCTAGTACACTGCCATTGTATGTTGCACAGTATTATTATTGCATTTTGGATTATTACATACTGATACAGTTAGGTTCAAAATTGATACCCCCTTGATTTTGGTGTTGTTTCGTTTAACACTACTCACTAACTAAATATCACGGAAGAAAACCCGATCTGTGGGCCTGGAACTTGCGTTGGTCGAATTAATTGTCCAGGTTATGGAACTGTTGGAATGTACAAACGACGAAACGTGGAACCGTACAATATTCGAACATTTAATAAGTGTTATGATTACCTTCATGCTAAACAGCACGGTTAGATTTAATGAAATCGTTGTCAAACTTAATTCAAAAGTAAGCACAATTTTGTAAAACTTTGCATCTCTATTTGGCCGAGCAATTTTTGTGCAAAACATGTGTGTTTCATTTTCCGCTTAGGCTGTTATTAACTTGGTTTTTTAAAACTAAACACCAATAAAATGAAAATTAGTATTCTTAATATTACTCCCACCTTTATTTATAAGCCTTTGTATATTCTCGTTGTTGACAGTGAGGACCAATTGACGATTCGTTTTTGGCATATGCGTATGTGGAGCGGATTTCTCCAATATTTCTATTTGGTCCTAAGTTTTAGCAAACTTTGATTGCAGTTAACAGTGCAACTCAGTACACGCTTCTGGGCATATCCCGGTATGAACATAAACACTAGGATGTAGGTACATCTATCTGGCCAATTCTCATTAGTTGTTCAGATTTTAGTTGGTATTCGAAAACAGCTTCAAAAATCTTAGAAAAGAAAGGAAATATTGTGCATATATGCCAATAAGAGACAGATCAATTGCAATCCTAAACATCAATAAAACGATTCAAGTAAACGATATCAAGTGAATTTAAAACTCACCCCATTGCACAAGCAAGTGTCTATCAGAACTCATTAGCTAAGTGGATAACGCGATGGTGTTTGGAGCGAACGGTACTGGGTTCGAGTCCCAGAGTGAACATCAACTCTGGGATGCAGGTACATTCAGCCGACCAGTCCCAAATAGGATGAAACACGCGTCCTGGATTCCACTGTTAGCCGCTATCTATCTTTGCTTATAATGCTTGTAAATTAAGGCAATATCGAGGCAATACGCACAGTATGCACATATGCCAATAAGAGACTGATCAATTGCAGTCCTAAACATCAATGGGAAGATTAAAGTAAACAATACCAAGTGAATTTATTGTATTTGATGTTTTACTTAAAGCTATCTGCTTTGTCAGCTTCAAGAAAAGTCATTTTTATTTAAGATGAATTTCATACATCTGGAACATCAATATACGAACCAAAAGTAATTATACATCTAAGGAATGAAAATGGAAATCTATAACTTGACGGGAGTAAAAAAGTCAGTGTTATAATCAATATGGATCCTGGTATCAGTGTGTATCAACCTAAGTTATCATGACACTGCACACCAAGATGACATCATCAAATTTAGTAATAAAGGGGCCAAGTTAATTGTAATATCAATGTTAGTGAGGAATACCCAACGTAGAGAATATATATAGTTCAGGGAGAATGAATGTGCTTATGGAGTAAAACGTATAAAAGAATACTAAATCTCAATGCTTAGCACAAGATAAAGAGTGAATGAATCTGCGCCACTGTGATCGATTCTATGTCGCTAGTCAACAAATATTAATAACGATTACCGCACTGATCCCAACCAAGTAGTTCGCAACTACCAACACGACTCTGACAAACAGTCAATGACTTCGTGAAGAGATTCCCTTCTTGCTTTGGCATCTCGCAACTTCTTCCCACTCTATTCATCCCAGCTGTCATTGTCCTTCGAAGTAGGCTGCGACTAGGCATATGTAACACAGCCTCAAAAATCACTATCAATAAGAGATAAGCTTACATAAAGGTAAGTTCACAAAGCTTATGGTTAGATCTTAATTTACGTTTCTTTTTATGCTGAAGACAAAAGAATTTACAGAACGACCGTTGTTTCTATGATTCTGGGTCACATTTAACCTCTTGAATGTCTGAATATACTATATCCATACCTTTTAGGAAGTTATTTCCAGTAAACCACCAGTTTCACTGTTTATATCTAGGGAAATTAATCAGGAGGAGCTGACAAGCCTCTTATTTCATTTATAAATGTAGATGACGTTGAAGGATTGATGAGTCAGGCATCTGTTCGTCTTTAATCTCCGGGTTTTGATTCCTTTTGTACTACAAAGATCCTGACGAGTCGCGCATTATTATTATTATCCTACATATTGTGAATGGTATTGACAATCAATGCACGTGTTTTAGTTTTAGCTCTGTTTGTAAATGTATTTCTCTCTTGAGTATGATTATTGACGTTAACATAAATGTTCGGCACAATTATTAATGCACAGAATGCTACTTGTCTTGTTCATATAATCAGATATCTTATTGTTTTAACAATATTCGAAGTTGTCTTCGTGCATACTTTTTCTTCCGTTTCACAGTTGGAAGGTCGTACGTGGACTAAATCAAGTCATTATGTAATGTGGTTCGTGCTAAACGCTACTTCAGGATTCATTGGAAAAAATATGGTTGGTAGATTTCATTTTTTCCGGTTTGGTTAATTAGAAGAAAACAGTTCGCTTAATGTGTTTCGTTTACCTAAGCTAAAGAAATAATTTGTCTTAGATTGTGATTTTCAAACCTTCCATAATTTCACTTGAGTATAATGTGTGTAGTTAGTGGGTTTCATGGTTAACAGAAACACTCAAGTACTTTGATCCACTACATAGACTAATGAATTCTTATCTACAGAATCACACGTTAAAAGCGTGTTACGTACATAACTCTACTCCAGTTCTTTTTAGTATACTAATGAATACTGTATTATTCAAATTAGTACCAGGACCTGGGTAAATTTTACTTGGAGAGACAGAGATTATTCGTGTTCAATTTTACTAAAAATACCAAGTTATCAGTACTAAAACTAGAAGCAGTTGCTGTTGTATCCAGTCTCAATCTTGCTGTAATGTATATTTAGTACTTTCTTCACAAGTTAAGAATTTTTATACACAGATATACTGATACCTACTTTCAGCTATTTAAAGTCGTTAAAGTTTAAGCTGAAGTTCGATATTATTTATTCCTTCCCTGCTTACTATCACTGACTGAGGCTTTTTAAAATACTGGTACTAGTTCATAGACAAATCAAAGGTGACAGCATGTGGTCAACAAGAATTTCGTGTTATGTGGTTTTCAAATGAAAACAACTCCAGTTTAATCTGTATGTATGATATAAAATTTTTTTGAAGTTTGTCTAGAAATAAATTTAGTCAGTTTGCGGTTCATTAAACCCTTGACAACTTGAATTCTTTTCTAAATTGCTACCTAGTGTTTTTTTTCTGAACGACGGTCTAATAATTGATAGTTAATCAAGCTCACTATTCCTCCCTTGTCTGATACATGAGACTTCACCTTGTTATTTAGTTTTTACTTGTATATTATTCGTAATAGAGTTTACACATTGACTGGAAATTTCATAGAATTTTGAAGAATAAAACCCGATGTTTGGTTAATATATATAAATTATGGTTTAGATGATTAATCCATGTTCAAACCGTATAATTTATACACATGGTTTATGTATGATGGTTATAAACCTGCAATTTTTGTATTTTAGTTAACAGATTTTGTCCCTTGCCTCCGGCTTTTCGATATTTTGTTCCCTGAAGCTGAAGATCCTGACCGAGCTATCGATCTCCCTATACCATGTTGTAGTAGAAAAGATTCCACTGGTCAGTCAAATGATAATGAGATTAGTTTAACACAAAAAGATGGAGTTCTGCCCAAAAACATCTTAGGCAAAGAACTAAGCAGTACAACCGAAAATACTAAGTTTAATGTTTCTCAATTTCCTATCTCCAAAAAGATGGATATCGATAGCTCTGATCTCAATCGTGAACTTGTTACCCATAAAGATAATGAAAATGAAGTACAGGAACAAAGCTCCACTTCTGCTGAGGATTCGGACAACGAATATATTCAGAATGAAACCGAGAGTAAGCTGTTTTTAGTGAATAGCTATATACCTGTCCCGATAGGTTTTTTAACCTGAGAGATCTTACGATGATCCATAGCTAATATAAAGTCATTTTGACAATTTTTTTTAGAAAAATAAGTGGTTTATTTACTGGTACTGCGATCAGGTTTAGATGTGGTCACTAGTTTAAATGAATCGATCTTGCGTGCACCATATGGTAATATTAATTGGTTGGAGATAGCCAACAAAAAGTTCGAAACCTAGGTTTCCTGCTTATTGGGATTCAGACGGTATGGTTTGAAAAGAAATTGTGTAGCTGACCCTAGTCACGTAGTCGTGTGCAACGTAAAAAATGACAATATGTCTGTTGGTTCAAGTCGTCTTACCGCATTTCCATAGCGAGATAAAATAACCAAGATAAATTTCAGAGTAGAACTAGTGACAGAATCAGTGATATTAGGAAAGATCATGTATAAAAATGGACAAAAAAAGATTTCAGGACTCGGGTTTTAAGGGAGGACAGAGAGTAAATGCATCTGAATTTGTCCAAACAGTTCTCAGCCACGTCATTTACAGTCTCTAAACATTGGTTACAATAATCCCTCAGACCCCGGCCATGTCATCTACAACCACCTACATCGCATAGTTCAACTGTGACTTCGTGGACTGATGGCATGTCCTGGTTTGGTTGCCCTCAATTTTATTCCAGCCTACTTCTACACCAGACAACATCGCTTGTCAAGGTAGGTGGAGATTGGGTATACGTGTCAAATGCCCCAGTCACTTCAGTTGATGAAGGTAGGCTACCTAACCAACCAATTTGCCGTCTGTACCCAGAACCCTGCGCCTAACATCACTCGGTGGTCCCAAAATACACGAGTGATGCTTTGATGACATCCATGACCGACCTGATTATATGTCTTTTTTCTCTCCTTATTGAGACTAACAGTAAATCAGGAGAATTTCAACCGTAATATGAGTATCCAGAAGAATTTTTAGGTAGACCATTCAGCAGTTATCTAACTTAACATTTTCTCTCATTACTTTTTCTCGTCCATTATGCCGTATCCTGGTGTTTTTGCTTCCGTTAATGGCGGACAAGATTTTAGTTTATTCAGTATATTTCTCGGCTTTACGAAATCGCTTTCATAATGGCGATGATCCTTTCCGTACTAACATGTCAAATTATACAGCAGAATTTGTGTTTTCGCGGCACATACTAAACATTGGGTTGGCTGTAGCTAGTCATTTCTGGGACTTTATTTCACAGTTGTGGTTTTTGACTTTAAGAGTTTCAATATAGTGAAAATTTCCATTTTTACATCTTGTAAATAAATTTATTTTCAATTAGTTTTTCATCATGGCTGTACACTAATATATATATATATATATATATATATATATATATATATATATATATATATATATATATATTACATGGTTTACAATAATGATATAATACTCATCGAGTGGATACGTTATGTAATAATTACATAATGACATTTAAATTAACATTGAGTAATTGGAAGAAAGATGATTATTAATATTCAAAGTAATTGTTAAATCAAGAAGTTGCTACGTTGCATAATATATGAAAAAGATAAGGAACAGAATTTTTAATGGATGGTTAATAGAACAGTAGTTACGTAGGAATCAAGATATGAATGTTGAGAAATTATAAAGTTCAAAAAACAAAGTTAAAAATTAAAAAAAAAACAAATGGAAGAAGTATGAAAAATAGTTCTGTTGAAGGAAATCTTATACCGATGGCCAATGCAGCGAGTGGTTGTACAAATTTCTTTTGAATGCAAAGGTTAGGTTTGTGAACATGGATTGCAATGGCTTCCGCAATGTGCAAAGGGCGCACTCGTAAATCATGTGACAAATTTGATGGGATATGGTAGATAACCTTATTCAATTCAACTTGATGACCTGTGTCAACCAAGTGAGCAAGAATAGATCTTTTAACCACTCTTACCTGTCTTTTGCTTAACCACGACGAATAGTGCTCTGTTATACGATGACGAACTTTCCTCATGATTTAAGGGAAGAGAGAGAGCGTATGTATACACCGATTCCATTGTGATCGATCCTGGGCCATGTCACCCAGAGTCTCTAACCATTGGTTACGATAGTCGTGCGGACTCGAACCAAGTAGTCAGCATCTGCCAACATGGCTAAGAGTAGAAGTTAGTGACTTCAAGCACTGATGCCACGTTTTGGTTTGGCCGCCCCTAACTTTCTTCCAGTCATCCCTAACACCGGTTACCATTGCGCGCCGTGGTAATCGGTGTTCAGGCATATGCAGCATGTGGCCCAACCATCTCAGTCGATGAAGATTCATAACCTCATCAACTGATTTACCATCATTCCCTAATACCCTACGTCTAACCTCACTATTACTTACCCGGTGATCCCAGCAGATCCCAGCAATATTTCTAAGGCACCTGTGGTCAAATACTAGTAACTTACGAATATCTTCTACTCTTAAAGGCCATGTTTCGCAGCCGTATAGTAGAACGGAACGAACTGCCGCGCAGTATACTCGTCCCTTAATTGATAGACGGACATCTCGCCTTCGCCATAGATGACGTAAGTTGGCAAAGGCCAAGCGAGCTTTTCGAATCCGTGCTGAGATTTCGTCAGACACCAACCCATTAGGGCTGATCAGACTTCCAAGATAAGTGAATTTGTCAACGCGTTCGACAACTTCACCCCCTATCCTTAGTTCAGGTGTTGACGCAGACCAGTCCTGAAGCAACAACTTGCATTTGGAGGGAGAGAAGCGCATCCCAAACATTCTGGCATTGTTGCTCAGTGCTACCAAAAGACTCTGCATTTTATCAGCGTCTTCACCAAACAGGACTATGTCATCTGCGTATTCTAAGTCGATAAATGGACCTCCTGGTAAGAGATCGATGCGCGAGAATTCAGTCGATGAGAGCGTTATTTCCATCAGTAGGTCTATGATGAAGTTAAACAAAAATGGAGAAAGTGGACAGCCTTGACGGACACCACTTGAGGTTGCAAAAGCAGATGACAGTTCGCCATAAACTCTGACTCGACTAGTAGTGTTCGAGTAAAGAGCCTTCATAAGGTTTATGTACTTCTGAGGTACGCCTTTCAATGACAGACACTGCCACAGAACCTCTCGGTCAACAGAGTCAAACGCTGCTTTTAAATCAAGGAAGACCACTATTGTCGGACGCCGATAAGTATGCCTGTGTTCTAGAACCTGACGAATGGTGAATATGTGGTCGATGCAGCCACGACCAGGTCTGAAGCCAGCCTGATTTTCACGTGTTTGCAGCTCACGAGTCTTAGTTAGGCGTCCGAAAATGATCGAGGCTAGTATTTTAGATACTATATTAGTTAAACTAATCCCTCTGTGGTTGTCACAGGATGATTTTGACCCTTTCTTAAATATTGGGACGATAAGTGATTGTGACCAGTTAGATGGGATGACGTCTAACTCCCAGATTTTAGCTAAAATATTAGTCAACCTAATCGCTAAAACTAGACCACCATCCTTAAAGACCTCTGGGGCCAATCCATCTGGACCAGCTGCCCTTCCTCGTTTCAGATTAGCTATAGCCTTTTGAACTTCAGCTAGAGTTGGGGGACCTACTTCAATGTTCCATTCGCACTGTCTGGGAATAGAGGGTAGTTGTAGAGTAGCTGAAGGCTAACTAAACTGCTCCTTAAAATGTTCCGCCCATCGTTCTAAACGTCTGGACTGAGAGCAGATGAGTGTCGTCTTTTTCCGAAATGGTCTGACTTACACTTGATTTATTAATTCCAGTTTCTTTTATTAGTCTGTAGAGTTGTCTTGTGTTCCCTATAGCCGCCGCCTTTTCCATCTTTTTTGGTTTTGTTGCCCACCACTGCTTACTGTCTTTCCTTGCACTTCTGGTTAAGTACAGCGACAAAATAATGGCTGAACGTGTTATTTCTCATACATATTCATGAGAGACTGACATTTTTGTTGTCGTAAACCATATATCGGTTTGTTTATCATCTATGGTACTATCTGACCATGTCAAGCCACTTTGTCAAAATATAAAAACTGGAAAATCGTGAGGATGACTTGTTCATATATAATTTGCCATCCATTCGGAAGTATTCAGTGAGAAAGTCCCGTTATTTCGCCCTCATGCACATTTTCCTGCCTGAATGACAACGTTGAGTGCGCATCAAGAAATCCTTTTTGAATTAATATGGAGCATTGGTCCAAGGGTTTACCTCCAAATGATATCATTTAATCCATATTATTTAAATATAGGACTCTAGTTCTCATGTAGTTTAACGTGGTTTATGTTTTGTAAGATTTCTGACAGAAAGTCGGTATTGAATAGAAATAAGCTAGAATAATTGATCATTTCCAAAATGCCACTACAAATAATTAGTATTAGACTAATTTCATACTAAACTGTTCTGTAGACACTATATGTAGTTAGTACCTATGTTACAATAAAATCTTAATACATTCTTCACATATTTAAAAAAACAATACTAATTGTGGTTTACTTGTCATATAACCATGTATTTTTATTTATTTTGTATCAGGTTTACTTCCTCCCCATTTTCGCTCCTCTACAGCTTGCTGGAAACGCCAGGGTCGACTTTTGCATTTGGCTACAGCTCCTGTTTGTCTCTGGCAACATGTTTTACGTAAAAGTCGACTTGGTCAAGATCATCTGCCACGTGTTATGCCACCAGCACTTAGACCAATAGAATCCCGTATATCACGTCGTATGCAAGCACTAGTACAATCTGTCAGTTCTACTCAAATATCTAATAGTTCTGTTCATTTAGTTTCAAAGTTGACATGGAACCAACTTTTCGTTGTACTAAATGCTTGTAAGTGAATTCATCATTAATTTAAACTGTTTTGTAGCTATATCTGTGCATAATGTTTCCTTATCTCTTAAGTTGTGATTATTAAGTGAAGAATCATTTGTCGCTTATGATTTATTAATTTTGATATATATGGTAATTTATTAATCGACATCTATTTCTTGTTTTTAGTTAGTACAGACAATGAAGTTAGTCAATTAATACAAAGGTTGATAGACACATTTTGGACAAATGAAACTGCAAAGGATAATCAGAAAGTGGAACATGAAGTTTTATGGTCACGACTAATAAAAAATGGAAAAATTGATTTTCCATACGATCTATCTGCCTATGGTCGGTTACAACCTTTGTCTCACCATCTTATGCGCACAATGTCTGTTCATGTAAGAATGCTGTAAGTACAGTGTTAATTCTTGTTCTTGATCTTGGTCCAGTCCAGCACTATTCGCATTAGCTTTAATATGTGGACACGGTTTTAAGTTTTTCGAACTTGACTTTATTTACCAACATTCATCAAGGAAAGCACTATTAAAAAATTATTTTTGCGTTTTTTTCTTGGAAACAGAATAAAATGCAAATTAAATAGAATTTTTTCGCCTAAAATTTCGCGTTGTTTAAATTTCTGTTTCAGCTACGCCTTTTTAAACAAGTTTCATGAACCATGATGTAATCAATAAGGATTTGCTTTTTCTCTCCCATTCTATTTTCAGAGTCTTACACTTCTTCCTACAAAAATTCTCAGTCCTTCCAAATTCCAATATGCTGTCTACACCAGCTGTCATAGAAACTTTTTGCCGTATTCTAGCTTGTCGCGAAGTGGAATCAAATAGCGTGAATAGAATTTTGTGTGGGTGTTGTTTGTTTTTATCTATACTGTAAAGTATTCTTTATTTTTGTTCTTTTATCATATATGAGAATAATCAATTTTTTGGCGTACCGAAACTGCTGAAACCGGGAGATTTTACGGATTTAACGATGGTTTTGATTTGCTTCACTTAATTCTCAGTACTGAGTATTCACGCAATTATTCCATAGCTTTTAATCAACCCGGAGGATATTTCAATTCACCCTGTATTGTTTTGCTTTAGATTGATATACGTATCTTGCAATCAAGTCCTACGCTTATCAGACCACACTACATATGATTTCAATTATATGTTCAGTCCCATTCACTTCATGAAAATCATTAACCGGACACCAGAACATTTTGAAACAATCTAAATAAGCCATCGTATTATTTCAACCTTGCTAGATGGTTGATTCAGCACAACAGACGTCCTCTAAGTGAAAGTGATGGTTTGTTTCAAATTATATTCGAATGTCATGTGAATAACCCTATTAATGCTAGTAGCTGGTCGTGGAATTTTCGATAGACCGGCATTTGTCGACAAATATAGGTTGACTACTATCCAACAATAACAGTAAAGCAGATGAGGTCAGTACGTAAGATACCTTGAAACTTTAAAAGTAGTGGTGGCTAACTTAATTGACGGTTTGGTTGACAAGTGGGTCTTAAGTAATATACTAGCAGCCACTATAAAAATGTGTTTGTTTAGCGGAAGTGTAAATTTAATTGAAGGTATTTTTCGGTTATCAACTCAACTCTAATTATAATTTCAATGCTAAAAACCAACTTTTCTATCGGTCATTACTGATATCATAATGTTGGTATGCTATACAAGTATTTTGTTAGAATCGGAAATTCCTCCATACTGTAAGATGGGAATGTCATCCATTGATTAAATAATTTCTTACTGTGGATTTAGATTACTTCAGGACCGATCTCGCCAGGTTCTGGTAAATTGTGACTCGAGAAAGTTCCATAGCTGAACAAAACAACCGTTCCATACTTAGTTTCTACTACTTTTCATCTAGAATGTAATAACGTAAAATTAAATCCACTTTTTAAAATCTTGTACATATTGCGGGTTATTTACGTCACTATATTTAAAGGTTTTTCGGATTAATGGTTAACGAGGCCTATGGTTCTAGCACCTTTTCATCTACTTCGTTTTGGGCGAGCACCTAGTATCTCTGGCCCTCACATAAGTAATATCACTCAAAACTGAGCGCATAAACAACTTACTTGCCAAATGAGTCATAATACTTATATACGTCACCAATTCAGTGTTTTCATTCTTGGGTTCTTGAACTGTACAAAATAATAATACTGTTATTAAATTAGAACATGCTGTTTTGCTAAATAACCACTCCAAGCTTTTGTATCGAGTTTTATTCAATGAGACCAATAACCGGATCATATTCCATCAATTGCTGGGCGACAGTTCTGGCTTAAATTAGATTCGTTCTCGTAAGATCTTTGAGGACTGTTTGTCGTTTGGTTTTTCATATGTGTATGTTCACTAACTTGGGTATATTAGTAAACATCTATTTTTTCCTAATTTTTCGGGAACTGCTATCATTTGAATTGCTTTGGGCTTCCTCTTCTCCCACACCTTGGAAGTGATTCTAAACCGCCATTGTACCTTGATAGTTATAGGTCGTGCTAGATTATTTGAATTATCGTTGTTTTGACTGGTGTTGGAAAGAGTTGTTTATATCGTGTTAGCTTTATCAGCTAAAATAAACTGTTACAGGTGGATGCGGATAGTCCTGATCGAAAATATTCTCAATGATATCGTAAAAGGGTGTGTTACATATTGACGCATTATGATTGTTGTGTCGTGTGGAATTTGTAGCCTGATTAACTATGTTTTTTTAATAAGTGGTTCATATCCTGCCTACTTTTATTTTTGTAGCTGAAAATCAAATAATTTGGTTTCCTTTGCAGGCTTGTTTCTCAAAATCTGATAAATTATGTCCTTGTGACATAGTACCACAATCGTAATTGATTCTGGTCATTGGACATTTCATAGCAGCCATTAAAGTGCTTCAGACCACTGTATTAGAAGCAGGTTGTTGTTAATAACAACCCGATGAATTTCCGGTCACATCTACAGTTGAATTAAATAGGGATTTCTGGACAATTTTTTTAACGCCAATTTTCCAAAAATTTCTTCATTTAAATGTTTTCCTAACAGTAGATTTCGCAACATTTTTTTTGTAGGCTTATTGACTAAACTCCAACCATTATGGTCTTTCAATACCTCAAATTTGGAACCCAAATATACCGTTTTATGTAGTACCACTGATTCAAAAGTCTCTAATTACTTTACATGCTCACTTGTTTACACACTGCTCGATACATTAGGGTTCCGTCTTGCAGATATACTTACACCGGAGGTTCGAATCCATACTCTTACCTCGTTAATAGGTTTAATGAAATTGTGGTCTAATTGGAGTACTTCTGTCCCCGATAATAAGGAACCTAAAAATCTTTGTGATGGAGGGACTAACGAAATTCCTATTGAACTGCAATATTTGTAAGTCATAGATCTCTTTTTTTGAATTTTGCTTCCCTTTCATTTTTAGCTTGTACGGGTTTCTGGTTTGCTTCATGACTGTTTTTACTTTTCCGACCTCTGAATCTCAAGTTTTTTATGAGTTACATATTCTGTGATCGTGGCATTGTCATTACATTTAATAAAGCAACTCACTCTTTATTATTTCATATTTATTTGAAAATTTCTGTTAAGTTATTTTCATGCCTCTCCGGTACATAGCTCAGGACTAAGACACAGTCGTAGATTACTAATTATAAATTCTGCATAAATGATTGAAAAAACTAAGTGTCTTGCGCAATAATCTTAGGGAAGATAGATACTCGGACTTGTTCATTAGCCAACTTATCGATACAAAAATAAAAGATTTTCAAATCATAAGTAAAAAGTCATGATGATTCTATAATTGGAGCGTGATGTGGGCCTCTCAGTGCAAAACTTTTACTTACAGTTTGTACAGATAAGTACAAAATTGCTTAGCTCAAGGAAACCACGAGCTATGTTTTCTACACTATCAGTTACGTTACTGAACCTGAAAGACTATTCACTTACACTGGAATTTTCTTTTCGAGTTTATCTATCCAGCAGCTAATGTGAAAAACGTTAGCTTGACTGATATACTGGGAATTTAATTTTTCATCTGTGACCGATCAGTGGTGCTGTTCATATCATAATCAGTTCGATCTTACCTTGCTTAATTCGAATAGACCATAAAACAAAGAGATGACTAACACTACAACGCACAGACAACTAGAAAAATACAATATCCAAACTGGGCATTGGGGTAGAAAAGGTTACGTTTAAATTATAGTAGCTTTGGAACAGAAAATTGTATAGCAGTGAATCATATATCAAACGAAAGCTTATAGTTTGTGGAATAAACTAGGAAGAAAACTAAATATTAGTATTTTACAAACTTTGAATTAAGTGAAATAACGTTCCACAAAATGGCTCCCGTTGTTTATCATCGCTTCTTTATTTCTATGTTCACATCAATAAATCTTTGATAAAACTACATTAACAAGTTGGTCTCATCATATACAATAGCTCCACGCATTATCTAGATGTACAATGAAGTTATTATCTAGCAGGTAAATCATCTATTCTTATTAGAGTTTTTAAGAAAATAATACTGTACACATAACTTATTTTCTCAATCGTCGTTAGATGCTCTGTTTTATTTATCTGTTCTCATATTTCCTTCTTTATATCCATAGTTTGGTAGTAGTTTTTGATTTTACTTCATAATCAACCATGTGTGGTGTTTAGCTTTTATAATAACTCAAAAAATATTAGGTTTATTTGATCTATTTTGAGCCACACCTTTTTGAATATCGGCTAGTAGTAATACTAGTCACCTGTAAGAGCACACGAGACCAAGTTGGTCACATTCAAATCCTTCCTGCACCTCTTAATAACTCTCTTATCTCCACGACTAACACTTCTCACGTCTTTTTAACACCTCGCACCTCTAGGGCGAACGATTCCAGTACGCGGAACGTTATTCCTGGTCTCCTGAAACCACGCTCTAAATTACACGTAGGATCTTTCAACGTCCGAACACTGTTCCAAATAGGACAATAGGCTTGCTTAGCTAAGACTCTAAAATCTCGCTCCATCAATGTGTGCTGCGTCTCCGAAACGCGCACATAGGATCCAAGTAGTGTCATTCATTTGGCCGCACCATGTCAAAGTAACAAACCAACTCGATTTACGCTTCGTGTATCTGGAAGCCCTGATGCTGCTTCCCGTGGCCTCGCTGGCGTAGGTATAGCATTGAGTCCTAGGGCAGAACTAGCTCTCTTAGACTGGATCCCAGTAGACAGTCGTTTGTGCGCTGTCCGACTAAACGGAACAGTAAGGACTCGGAAAGATAGGGACACTCGTCGTTGCCTCTTCGTCGTCTCTGCCTATTCTCCCACTGACTGTAGCTCAGATGATGTAAAAGATGAGTTTTGCAGAAAGCTTTCCGACCTTCTCCGAGAAGCTAGGCGTTCAGATGTAGTAATAGTGACTGATAACTTTAATGCTCAAGTTGGTAAACTAAACGAAAGGGAAAGACACCTGGGTGGATCTTATGGTGTCGCGGCTCGAAGAACAGATAACGGCGACCGTCTGTTGCAGCTATGCTCAGATAACCGCCTGTTTCTTGCGAACACTAACTTTAAGCATAGGGAAAAACACATTTTGACATGGCGACCCCCTAATTCGTCCCAACGTTGGACCCAAATAGATCACATCGTTATCACCCACCGATGGAGGGGCTCGATAGAAGACTGTCGCTCATTCTGAAGCATATGCTTAGACTCAGATCATGCTCTAGTGTGAGCGTGTATTTGTCTACGTCTTACTGGAGGTAGGAGAGGTGGTGCAAGGAAACCCCTTAGGGTCGTACTTAATGATAGTCAAGCTAAGAGTATATTTCAGGAACAACTAGAAAAACAGTTAGGCAGCCATGTAAGTGATGCCCACCGTGAGGCAGCGTGGAATGACATCCGAAAAGCTGTGAAAACAGCAGTGATATTGTGGTGTGCGCTACTTATGTAGACACAAGTAGTATATGATGTTAGTCGTGAAGAGAATGTCTGGCAGCAGAGAGACAAGTAGATCGAACAGTAAAGAATAAAGACAGAATGCAATTTGTATGAAAATCCAAGAACAATGAAGTCTGAGTCATTTTGAGACAATCGATGGACATTTTGCTAATTGAGCATTTAATATATGGTTGTTAGATTTTATTAACAAGTTCTGTAATTTGTTGTCAAATACATTCGATTGTTCCCCACCCGTATTCTGTTCACTACAATATCTGCTAGTACGGTTAAACACAAGGTTAGGGAGAAACACTGGATCTCAGCAGCGTCTACCGCACTGATAGATGCTCGGAAACTCATCCCATCTGGCTCTGAACATAACGAAAAACGGAGTCAGCTTAAGCGTAAGCTGACTAGAAGCCTATGTAATGATCGTGAACAGTGGTGGGTAGCGAAAGCAAGAGAGATGGAAAAGGCAGCGGCAATAAGTAACAGCAGGCAACTGTTGAAACTTGTTAAGGAAACCGGTATTAGGAACCCAACTGTTAGCGAAACAATCGCAGAGAAAGATGGACATATTATTCATTCTCAATCCAGGAGATTGGATCGATGGGCAGAACACTTTAGGGATCGGTTAAACTGGCCTCCAGCCACACTTCGGTTTCCCACGATCTCCAATCTACCTGAATGGCAAGGTAATGTAAGTCCTCTGACTCTTTACGAGGTTGAAAAAGTTATGGGAAATCTGAAGCGTGGGAGAGCAGCAGGTCCTGACAGGTTTACTCCTGAGATTTTTAAGGATGGTGGTCCAGTATTAGCAGCGAGATTGACTGAGGTCTTAGGTAGAATCTGCGAACTGGACGTAATCCCATCTGACTGGTCTCAATCACTGATTGTGCCAGTCTATAAGAAAGGACAAAAGTCCTCTTATGACCATCACAGAGGAATCAGTTTGACTAATATAGTGTCTAAAATATTAGCTTCAATAATAATTCGACGCCTAACCAAAGCTCGTGAAGAACAGACTAGAGAAAACCAGGCTGGTTTTCGACCTGGACGTGGTTGTATATACCAGAAAATCACACTACTTCAGGTCCTAGAACATAGACACACATTCAGACGCCCCACAATGGTAGTATTTCTCGACCTTAAGGCGGCATTTGAGTCTGTTGATCGTGAGGTTCTATGGCTGTGTTTGTCACTGAAAGGAGTACCAAAGATCCCCCAAATGCCCTGGTACGGCCGAGAGTGGGGAGAGACCGCTCTCCCTCTCGAAATGCTCTCACATGGCCATGCGTATATAGCCTCTGCCAGGGAAGTCCTACTCACTGCCTTCACGTGGCGGGGGTATTGTTTACAAAAATGAGAGGACGAAAAGCGAATGTCTGGCGCTATAACCGGACCCCAAACCAATGTTGCACATGGGCTCCAGTATCCTGCGGGAACAAATGGCGTATGATGTGGTATGGCAACTCGAAATGATGTACGTACGTACGAGGTTGTACGTTGTTACTGACTGACCGACTTCTAAACCAAAGCAGGTTTTTTGGTGTTCGAATCTTCAATAAAATAACATAAATATTATGTGGTTGGATTATTTCGCATTCAGAGTAAGGATATTTATTTCCCTTAAGTAATTTGTCGATTTTCCTACATAGCTGACTTAACGCTGTATATCTGTTTAATTCTACTTTTGATAAACTTTTAACCTGACGAAAACGTTTATGTTCCTAGCTCGCTTCACAATTCATAGACTAGATGACTAAGATTGTATAATGTTTCCTAGATTTAAATTTCAATATAATGTTAGATTGAAGACTATTGGTAAAAGGCGAAAACCTATAATAGCATAAATGGTGTAATTCCATGAAGTTTTACTTTTATTTCCTATGTACATCTTTTTCAACGAAAAGCTGTGCTACAAGTGTTTCTAGTGTACTTATGTTATAGATTTGAATATTGTGATTTGTGATAATGAACGGGATCCGAATTGTTTTAAATAGCTGCAATAATACAATGTAGCCTGCTAATAATTGTTCGCCAGATTAAATTATTGATGCAATCCCCTGAGGAACTGTTTTTAAAAGATAAGACTACTGACCAGTTTGTTGGCTATTTATCATAGCAACATAACGGGTGTGTATACAAATATTAGAAACAAAAGTGATCATGATCACATGTCAGTTAACAAATAAATGATTGAAAGATATGTCTTCTTAGTCACTCACACCAGTGAAATCAAAAAGTGATTATCGACCTTAGTTTCAGCTTCGTCATATCAGTTAAAAAGACGTTTTTAAACCTACATTGATTGAATATATTGATTTGTGCAGTTCTCTACGTCATCTCTTGGTTGTTTAAAAGGAAGTAGTGTTATCCCGCATAAATGTAGCTCACTTCGCTAGATCGTCAATTTTCAGCTCATTAAAATTTGTTTATTAGTCCTATTCTGTGTAACAAACTTACCATTTTGGTGGGAAAAGGTACAGGAAACTGGTGAACTTCTAACAATACTGACTACGTTTTTATATATTTCAGTTATTGGTAGATTACTTTTCTGTGAGAAATATAACAGCTTTGCGCTTAATATGGCATTTAGATAAAGAAATCAACATTTTTATAGATAAATCAAATTTATGGATTTTAATAGTTAATTGAAATGGGAAGAAACATACTATTTATTGCTCATATTCATTTCATGAAAAGGCGGTGCAGTTGGGTGTCATTATAGTGTTGGCCCATTGATACCTGTGTTAGTAATATTCCCCGTGGAAAATATTGGAAAATAGAATAAATTAGTCCTCTCTTTTGAAGTCTCGTTAAACATCTCTTTTATGACTAATCCGTTTTTTAATATACTCTTCCCATACCTTTACATCGAACAGTGTAAAGTAATTGATGTTTTATTAGCGCACGTTATTAACATTAATGTATTTTGAATAATATTTGAGTCGAAACACTTTTTTTTATTTAGACTGGATTGGAACATCATAAAATTTGCGCGTAGCATACAAGCACCAGATTGTGTAATTTATGGGTTTTGTTCAGCTCTTACCTCTTCTACTCTTACTCAAACACAACCGGGAACTAACAGTTTACATTCTGTTAATAATTCTGCGTGTGTATCGCAACCACAAAATTCGAACATAATATCACAACAGGGTGGTGGTTTGATGAATAACACAACTGGTGGCTCTGTTCCAATTAATCGACCATTCATACCTGTAAATACAGGCGTACCGACTTCGATTCCATCTTCTATTATTATACAACCACCAAATGATCCGATATTATCCTCGAGTACCGGTGTGAATTCACTTACAGGTGGATCAGGAAGTGCGGGTTTTCCCAATTCAATACCTGGTTACCCATTCTTAATGTGTGATAATGTTGAAGTTAATCGTTTTGTATTATATTCCTTATTGCAAATGTATCATACGTTTGGTGAGTAAATCAACATAACGTTTTATTTTTATTGCAGTTCCATTCATCGGACCACTCCTAAATACTATGTTTATATATATTTCAAATGGGATTATTTGATGTACTAATCTGTTTCAAATCTTGTTAAGTAGTTGAATATTATTTAATTTTAGCTTACCACATAATGCACCACAGATTGTCTTCTTTATTGTAACGTCCAAGCTTGATGATGGTCGAGTACGCTAGTTCTGCTAAAGATATACCAAGGCTACTTACTTACTTACGCCTGTTACTCCTCGTGAAGGAGCATAGGCCGCTCACCAGCATTCTCCATCCAACCCTGTCCTGGGCAATCCTTTCAAGCTCTTTCCAGTTCTTATTCATCCTTTTCATATCTGCTTCTATTTCCCGACGTAATGTGTTCTTTGGCCTTCCACTTTTCCGCTTCCCTTCAGGATTCCAAGTTAGCGCTTGTCTCGTAATGCAGTTTGATGATTTCCTCAATGTATGTCCTATCCATTTCAATCGTCTTTTCCTAATTTCCTCTTCAGCTGGAAGCTGGTTGGTTCTCTCCCACAAAAGGCTGTTGCTGATGGTATCCGGCCAATGGATGTTGAGTACCTTACGTAGACAGCTATTGGTAAATACTTATACCTTCTTGATGGTGGTTGTTGTAGTTCTCCAAGTTTCAGCTCCGTACAGTAGAACTGACTGCCTTGACGTTGGTATTGAAGATTCTGACTTTGATATTGGTTGAAAGTTGTTTTGAGTTCCATATGTTCTTCAGTTGAACGAATGCCGCTCTAGCTTTGCCGATCCTTGCCTTGACGTCTGCATCTGAACCTCCTTGTTTATCGACGATGCTTCCCAGGTATGTGAAGGATTCCACGTCTTCCAGAGTTTCGCCATCAAGAGTGATTGGATTGCTGTTCTCCGTGTTGTGTTTGAGGACCTTGGTTTTCCCTTTGTGTATGTTGAGCCCTACTGATGCAGAGACTGCCGCTATGCTGGCTGTCTGTATCTGCATTTGTTCGTGTGTATGTGATAGGAGGGCTAGGTCATCTGCGAGGTCCAAGTCGTCTAATTGGTTCTGAGCTGTCCATCGTATGCCGTGGTTTCCCTCAGATGTCGAGGTCTTCATAATCCAGTTGACCACCAGAAGAAAGAGGAAGGGAGAGAGTAGACAGCCTTGTCTTACTCCGGTCCTTACTTGGAATGCGTCAGTCAGCTGTCCTCTATGCACTACTTTGCACTGTAGTCCATCGTATGAGTTTCGGATAATGTTGACAATCTTCTCAGGAACTCCGTAGTGTCGAAGAAGTTTCCATAACGTCCTCCTATCTACACTGTCAAATGCCTTCTCATAATCAATGGAGTTGATGTAGAGTGACGAGTTCCACTCAGTTGATTGTTCGACGATGATCCGTAGTGTCGCAATCTGGTCTGTGCACGACCGGTCCTTACGGAATCCAGCTTGTTGATCTCGAAGTTGAGCGTCAACTGCGTCTTTCATCCTGTTCAGTAACACTCTGTTGAAGACTTTACCTGGTATTGACAGTAGTGTAATGCCTTTGTAGTTTTCACACTTGCTCAGATCTCCTTTCTTTGGAATCTTGATGAGGTGTCCTTCTTTCCAATCCATCGGCACTTGTTCCTCCTCCCAAATCTTCCTGAATAGAAGATGGAGCATGCTTGTAGTTACTTGGATGTCTGACTTCAACGCTTCAGCTGGTATATTGTCAGGCCCTGCTGCCTTCCCGCTCTTGATTTGTCTGACGGCCATTCTGATTTCTTCGGTCGTTGGTGGATTGACATTTATAGGAAGATCTGTGTGTGCTGCTTCGATGTCCGGTGGATTCATTGGAGCCGGCCTGTTCAGGAGTTCCTCGAAGTACTCTGCCCATCTGTTGCGCTGTTGTTGAATCTCAGTGATTGGTCTTCCTTCCTTGTCTTTGACAGGTCTCTCTGGTTTACTGTATTTCCCTGCAAGCTTCTTCGTCGTATCGTAAAGCTGTCTCGTATTTCCTTCTCTTGCAGCTTTTTCCGCCGTCGCTGCTAGTTCTTCCACGTATTTCTTCTTGTCAGCTCTAATGCTCTTCTTCACTTTCTTGTTTACTTCTATGTATTAGCTTGTGCTTGGCCTTTCTCTGTTCTTGTTCGACTGTTGTTAATTGCTGTCTTCTTGTTCTTTCTTTCTTTGATCCTGTCCAGTGTTTCTATAGAGATCCATTCCTTGTGATGATGCTTCTTGGGGCCCAGAACCTCTTGACACGTTGAAGTTAATGTTTCTTTGATACCTTTCCAGCTATCCTCCATAGTAGTTTCTTCTTCGTTCAGTAGATCCTGTAAGGCTTGGAACCTGTTGTTGAGAGCTACCTTGAATTCATTGAGTTTGTCGGTATCTCGAAGGAAGCCTGTATTGAGCCTTTTTGGTGCTGTTTGTCCAGTTGTCCAGTTCTTCTTTAGCTTCAGTTTCAATTTGGCCACAACCAGGTGATGATCTGAAGCTATATCCGCTCCTCTCCTGGTTCTATACCAAGGCTAACTTAAAGGAAATGCTTTCGATGGTGGTGATAAGCCTCTCAACAGCTGCGTGACTTACAGTGATTAATTTGTTTAGTTTATGTGTTTCTTATATTGAATCATCATCCGCCTCCCATTTCTATGTTACATAAAATAGGCATGGAATGATTGATCCATTTTTTAGTTAGACACGACAGCAAACATTAAAGCCTTCGATTGCTCTTTTAAACCATGCAAAAACATGTAGATTCGTTTGATGGAGAAATTTTTCACGTATAACTATATTTCACCTATTCTTTGTTGGTCTTAAACTGTCAGTTTACCACTTGCCGTGTGAGGTTCAAATAATATTTTATCCTTCGTGCACTGGAAGTTGAATTAAGTGGTGGTCCCTTGCTGCTCTTTCTGGTTTTTATTCAATTTTGTTTTTCAACCAGTTGTCCTATCAATTCTAACCGTACAGATACTTTATGCTTTGGATTTCTTTTATTATATTTTAATATTCAAAGGTTTTGAGTGTTTCCTCTTCAATTTAGCAATCCTCCATATTTCCTCTCTTTAATCTAGATTTGGAAGAAGCAAGTGGAATTCGACCGAATCTAGTTGAACAAATTCGCTCCATGTGTGAACAGTGTGGTCCAAATAGTCTGATAGATTTACCTCAGCTAATTACAAAACGTTTGCCTGATTTTCTAATTCTTGTTATACGTCAGTTAACTAATCCAAACACAGGTGAATTTAACATTGGTAGTCTCCCATCATCGGATCCCATGAATGTAGAGTCAATGGAATCAACTTTACCGTATACAGATAAATCTACTAGTTTATCTAAACTTTGTTCAATGGTACAAGAGGAGTACACTTGTTTTTCTAGTAAGTCCTTATTTTATTAATACAATAAAAGACAAAACATATGTGTGACATTTATGTTGGTTTATTATGAAGATTTCCCAAACACTTAATAATATTTCACGATATTGCTCAACCATCTTCCGATATCATTAATCCCAACATAGTTAGACTCCACTAGTCACGATTTCGTACTATAACATCTGAAAATATTTCCTGAAATTAATCACTTCCGACTACATGATTATCATTAGTATGTTGGTTTTCGGTTATCTAAGATCAGTCCTTGATATGAACTAGGAAACTCAACAATCTCTGAGAATCCTGTTTACCGATAATAATCATGTTCACTAATCTCGAGAGAGGTAATTTCAAGAGTTGTTATGAGTAATCGTTATTAATGGAGTTCAACTACGTCTGTAATGAGACATTTACCGTGGCCTTGGGAGATGGCTGGACAACATCACAAATTGATTGGAGTTTGAAATATAAACCACTAGGTGCCAACTCACCAGTTCAAAGAGTATACTCTCACAACAAGGTCTGAAAGTTCTAGGTCGATCATATGTGGGGTCATGCGTCCATACTAGTAAGGTGTTTAATACTAGGAGGAACGGATTTCCAGTGCTTCTTGGTTTTCAGTGGTTGTCTAGATAATGTTAGTCGGTATTATAAATTAAGAAATCATCAATCCTCACAAACCCTCCATCCTGAATAGTATATGTTATCATGGTTTATAATACGCTAGGAGTCATGCGACATTCAGCATTCGATTTTACTTCTAGAAGTCTCTAGTCACCTATTTCAAATGTCTCGACTTGTTCTCCCATTTTTCAGTTTCGTACTCTTATTCATTTTTGGAAAAATTAAAAAAGTACGAATTAAGTTTATAAGGTTACTTTTAGCATACAGTGTTGGTATTTCTGTCGGCTTAAATTTATACAGAAAGATCTTTATCGTTTGCTTATGGTTATCAAGCGATTATAGCTACTATTGTTTTCATGATTTCGATAATCATATTTCTTATTGTTTTGGCACAAGAAGGTGTGCAGAAAGTACACATCGACAATCTCCATGTCCTTTCATTTTCTTGTTTCATTTTTATTTTAGATGGGAATTTTGAATGGAGCAATGCAGTTAGTCGGAGTAATGTGTTCTTATGGTGAGTTTCGTTGACTTTTAATCCTGCAACTTTTCTTATTTTAAGTTTGAATAAAGCAAGAACAACGAACATGGAAGAATAATATGAATTCATTTATTTAATGGATTATTATCGAATACATACAACCTAAAAGCACTAGTAACAGTATAAATAAATTCATATTACTCTGCTACGTTCATTATTCTTGCTTCATGCTAACTGTTCTATGTTTAACGTAGCTTTTTAGGTGTTTGCTCTATCGTCCATTCGAAATTTCTTTATTTAATCATTTGGTTAGTAATTGTTGGTATTTGTCTGCAAATAATAGATGTAAGACACAACTCAGTTTCTAAACTTATTTCTTCAATGTTGGTGTGTAGACTAATGAAATATAATTCTCCATCCAACTCTGTCCTGGGCAATCCTTTCCAGCGGCTATTCATCCTTTTCATGTCCACTTCCGATTATTGGCTCAGTGTGTTCCTTCACCTTCCTCTTATCCGTTTCCTTTTAGGAACCCAAGTTAGCGCTTGCCTCGTGATGCAGTTTGATGATTTCCTCAATGTGTGTCTTATCCACTCCCAACGTCTTTTCCTAGTTTCCTCCTCAGCTGGAAGTTGGTTTGTTCTCTCCCACAGTAGGCTGTTGCTGATGGTATCCGGCAAACGGACATTAGGTATCTTGCATAGTCAATTGTTCGTAAATATCTGCACTTTTTCGATGATGGCTGTAGTAGTTATCCGAGTTTCAGCTCTGTACAATAAAACTGTCTTGACATTCGTATTGTGACTTTGACACTGGCTTACTGTTGTTTTGAGTTGCACACGTTCTTCAATTGTGGGAATGCTATCCTTGCTTTGTCAATTCTTGCCTTTACGTCTGCATCAGATCCTCCTTGTTCATAGATAATGCTGTCCAGTTACGTGAAAGATTCCACATCTTCCAGAACTTCTCGATCAATTGTGATTGGGTTGGTGTTCACTGTGTTGTAATTGAGGATCTTGCTTTTTCCCTTGTGTATGTTGAGGCCTACTGATATAGAGGCTGCTGCTACATTGTTTGTCTTGACCTGCATTTATTGATGTGTATGGGGTAGAATAGCTAGGTGTACTGTGGAGTCTAAATCGTCTATTGTATTCTGTGCTTTTCCTGAGATGTAGAGGTCTTTGTAATCGAGTTAACCAACGTTAGATTATCGTCAACAATAGTTCAGCAACACTCCGTTGAAACCCTTTCCTGGTACTGACAGTAGTGTGATGCTCTGTATTTCTCACGTTTGTTCAGATATCCTTTCTTTGGAATTTCGATGATATATCCTTTCTAGTCTGTTGTGTTTTCATTGACTAGTTTATTGTTACTCAATAATCAAATACAGACTCTTTTATGTTTTTTTCGCATGAGGTCTGTCTGGCTACCCGTATAAAGTGATGATAAATCATACGACTCAACAGTTGAATACTGGAACCACTCTCTTTTGAAGTATGATTATCATTGTCTAAGTTGATCGTCATACGTTTTTTGTGTCTATCTTTCTACTAACTTTTTATCACATGAATTTCTTTGTTTCTTTCCTTTTCGCGATCTAAAACTTTGTTGTTTTACTTTTTCTATTGGTATGTAGTTTATTGTTTCGGTATTTTATGGAATATCAAAATATACCGAACAAACCAATCAGGTTAGTTGGTTATTTATAATAGATTTTGAAACGTATATTACTGTCGATTTTCTTATAAAATGTCTGTTTCTATCCCTTTATTTCAATTATTTGGTTCAATGCAGGTATGTATAGAGTTATAAATGGTTTTGACGAGTTTAAGACAGGTATGTAGACCTTTTATATTCTATGCTATGGTTTCTATCTACATTAAAAATGGCAACTACACCTATGATAGCTTGTTACTCTTAACCGGTTTATTGCATTTCAAACTGTAAATTTACTGAGTCGATTAAGTTGAAATTTTTCGTAGGTAATTAATTAGTCACCCACGCATATAATTTTAAATTCAATGGTTAAGCACACCAGTTGTGGTCTATGATATTGACGGTTCCACAAGGCATGAAAATAAACTATGAAGTTGATGAATTCGATCGACAGTTAACCAGATTTTCATATGGTATTGAAGATGTTTTGATATGGTTCACAAAATCTGCGTATCAACTTGGATAATATCTGCCTGCTATTCAACTAGTATGTTCTAAAAATTGATGTATATATATATAAGTATACTATTGAATGCTTACAAACTAATTGGCTATTTTAAACTCTATTTCTGTTTATCTTAATTAGTCTTTTACACCATATGTCTGCCAAGTTTCTCAATCGACAACTTCGTATGCTTTGTGATTATATAGTGTCTTCTTTGACATTCACTGCACAAGTGAATTTTACAGCTGAAAAGGTTAGTTAGATCAATCGGAATTTCATAGTTTGTGAAATAATTGTTCGTGCTTATTTAAAACGAAATTTCTATATTTTGGATATTCCATAATGTTTTCTTTGTTCTTACATATATTCTATTTATTGTCTTTTCGTTGATCAAGTTCAATTCAACTAGATGTTTGTAATAATTCGCATCTGAATGATGTTTTCTCCAACATAATTAGTCGTTTCGTTCACGTATTACAATCAATTAAGGATTAACTAAATACCCGACCGTTGTTGCTACCTTGACGTGGTGGTCGGGCTCAAGAGTACATAAACCTTATGAAGGCTCTTTACTCGAACACTACTAGTCGAGTCAGAGTTTATGGCGAACTGTCATCTGCTTTTGCAACCTCAAGTGGTGTCCGTCAAGGCTGTCCACTTTCTCCATTTTTGTTTAACTTCATCATAGACCTACTGATGGAAATAACGCTCTCATCGACTGAATTCTCGCGCATCGATCTCTTACCAGGAGGTCCATTTATCGACTTAGAATACGCAGATGACATAGTCCTGTTTGGTGAAGACGCTGATAAAATGCAGAGTCTTTTGGTAGCACTGAGCAACAATGCCAGAATGTTTGGGATGCGCTTCTCTCCCTCCAAATGCAAGTTGTTGCTTCAGGACTGGTCTGCGTCAACACCTGAACTAAGGATAGGGGGTGAAGTTGTCGAACGCGTTGACAAATTCACTTATCTTGGAAGTCTGATCAGCCCTAATGGGTTGGTGTCTGACGAAATCTCAGCACGGATTCGAAAAGCTCGCTTGGCCTTTGCCAACTTACGTCATCTATGGCGAAGGCGAGATGTCCGTCTATCAATTAAGGGACGAGTATACTGCGCGGCAGTTCGTTCCGTTCTACTATACGGCTGCGAAACATGGCCTTTAAGAGTAGAAGATATTCGTAAGTTACTAGTATTTGACCACAGGTGCCTTAGAAATATTGCTGGGATCTGCTGGGATCACCGGGTAAGTAATAGTGAGGTTAGACGTAGGGTATTAGGGAATGATGGTAAATTAGTTGATAAGGTTGTAAATCTTCATTGATTGCAATAGTTGGGTCACATGTTATGTGTGTCTGAACACCGTTTACCACAACGTGCAATACTGACTACTGCGTATGCCTGAACACCGATTACCACGGCGCGCAATGGTAACCGGTGTTAGGGATGACTGGAAGAAAGTTAGGGGCGGCCAAACCAAAACGTGGCATCAGTGCTTGAAGTCACTAACTTCTACTCTTAGCCATGTTGGTAGATGCTGACTACTTGGTTCGAGTCCGCACGACTATCGTAACCAATGGTTAGAGACTCTGGGTGACATGGCTCAGAATCGATCACAATGGCGTCGGTGTATACACTCTTTGTGTTTCTTCAAACTAAGAGATTAAAATCACTTCAAATCTTTCTTTCTAGGAACTAATTCTATCTTCCTGTACTATCTCCTTATGCACACTCTTTCTTCTATATATTACCACCACTGGATTAACTACTTCTATGAATCCGGTGTTCATCTTGTTGTGCTAATGCGGTATGGCAACTTGGACCGATGCATATACGTGCCTGGTCCTACTTTGTAGCTGACTGACTGACTGAAACCAAATACTGAAATAACTTTTACAGATGTTTACTTCTTATCATCGTCTCATCTGTTTTGTATGTGTTCACTAGAAAGCTATCTTTTTATTTTAAGAATACATTTGATAAAAAAGTTACCAATATTTTTATCTGTGGACTAGAGACACTACTTACCAGTTCCAAATCAACTAAATGAAGCTTTTTTCATGATGTTCTGATGCCTCGATAATTTATCTATGTATTTCACTCCTTTTACTATTTCGTTTGCTGATTTTTCAGTTTAGAAGTTAAAATTTCATGTTTGTTTCTGTTATAGTGTCTTTCTACCTTGTCAGATTTCTGTGTACGTTGGCATGTTGTTTCGTTAGATCGATTTCTTTTGTTCTTGGTAAGCTTTTTTTGTTATTTTGATCCATTATATTTAGGCTTTTGTGGCAGAGGGAATGATTAGGATTATTGTTTTCTTCAATACTACTATATGGAAGTGTTGGTGTTCCTTTATTAATAAGTGTTTGACCTTTTTTAAATGTTTTGTTTGTATGAAAAATACGAGATAATTCACTCATTAAGTATAGGTTTTGGAAAAATTGGTCATAGAAAATTGATCATATGTGAAGTTTACTCATAGTCTTTATGCAATTAGTAAATAAAATTGAACTCAGGTATTTAATCTATTGTTAGTGAATGAAACAAGCTGAACTGTGCAGATTACGTAGTCGGGTGCATCAGTTTGACCAGTTTTCGTTGCATATTTCAAGGAACAATTGATACGTTGCAAATCTTTCGCCGTTTGATATTTATAAAAATTTTTTATATGTCTCTTTATTTTGTATAAATGATATGTGATAATTGAATTCGAAATTGCATTTGGTTGGAGCCCAATTTATCTATTTCACTAATCAACCGATAATTACTTGAAATCTTTTTTGTTTCCAAGTAAATCCGAGGTTTACTAGTCCCAGTAATATGATTCTACCCATTGATTGGCGTTTAGGATTACTATATTCTTTTGTAAAGCACATCTGACATTGCACTGTTGTTGAATCAAATATTCAGCTTATTCTGTATTTCTAGTTTATTAGTGTTTTTTTGTTTTAAAAGAATGGTAGCATTGTTTGTACCTTACTCTAGACCAGGATTTCAATCCACTTCTACTGATGGTGTTTTGTTTAGTAAATGAGATAGTTGAGTCTGAAGACTCGTTACTGGACTACATGTTATGTTAGAAGTCAGACGTCATTTGTTTTCTATGAAAGTACTGAGGAATACTTGACAATGAAAGTAAAATGGCATTCTAATATTCTAATGACTGACTTGTGAGTAAACTTCATCAGTGTTTTTCAAATGGAAATTACTAAATCTAAATTATACATTGACAGTTTTGGGGACAAATATCAATGTTGGTATTTTCAATATAGTCACATAAAAAAGCATATATTTTCTATTAGTGGAACATTTGTAAAGGGAGATGTGACATCCGATGAGATCATTTTTGCTACCATTTATATTGATATTTCTAATTCAATTAACAAAATGAATCAAGAGAGTTGTATATATTTAGTGTGATTTCTGGCAGCTTGTAAAATTTCATCTGATCATTTACCAATCAAATGATACAGAGAGTTATTGGTATCAAGTATGGGACATAGGTAAACATCCTTTCTATGAACTTTTGATAGTCCGTATAGTCCTGGTATAGTAGAACCAGATGGTCTAATATGTTTGTAGAGGTCACAATTGGTAGTAAACTCATCATTCATCTTTCTTGAGATCTAAACGCGGAATTCAAGTTTAACAATGATCTCTATAGACACACTGATGAAGTTTCAATGGCATCGCCAATGGACCCTCTCTTGGCCGATTGCTTTACGGTCAATCTGGAAAAGACGGTTTTTCAAATGATTGAATCATCATCATTGCCTAAAAAGCATAATTTGATAACCGTCATTATAACTAAATTATAAGTAAATAGTTTTTTTTATGGAGATTGGTGTTTAAAATGTATAATTTCTTTGATAAAAAGATAGTCATAACATTTCTTTCTTTCTTCCTTTCAATTTCCGATAGCTCATGCATACAAGATACCAACATTCACAACTCTTTATTGTAAATCGAATCATTGTTTATCTGTTTACACAGTCGGAGCAAATCACTAGTGGAATAAATTATTTGAATAAAAAATATGAGGTCATTTTTTTAATGAAATCTTTTTATTTGTTTTGATGTATGTTGTTTCCGTATCAGTGCTTCTCACTGCCCAATCTAAATTGCAGATCAGGCTAGTAATTAGTGGCTTAATAATTCCACAACAATTTATACCTTATTACTGAATTATTATACTTAGACCTCATCCGTTCTACTTTAACTCTGGCTAGTATAGAAGCTGATGAGTAGAAACAGTTATTTAGTCTCATTAATTTGTTCGATACGAGTTCATAAACGAATAGACTCATATTTTTCGCTCAACACTTTGTTGCTGTTATGATCACTCCACATCCACATGTTATCTTATTTATTTATTTATTTTAACACATAGATATCGGTACAAGAAGGCACCAAATACATATGCGCCACATAGATCTCATTGGATATGTGTGAGGGCTGTGATACTGCCCAGGTGCCCAAACCGAAGCAGGTGGTTTTCTTAGGGGGCCACATCCCGAGCCTTTGACCTGAAGATCTGATCCACAAGGCAGTGAAGCATCGTGAGGAGATGCAGTCCCATGGTAGCCGGTGACCAACGATTGGTTCATACGCCATTTGTTCCTTCAGGTTACTGAAGCTCATGTGCACCATTGATTTGGGATCCGGTTATAGCGCCGGACATTCGCTTTTCGTCCCCTCATTTTCGTAATCAACACCCCCGCCACGAGAAAGCAGTGAGTAGGACTTCCCTGGCAGGGGCTGTATACGCGTGGCCATGTGAGAGCATTTCGAGAGGGAGAGAGGACTCTCCCCACTCTCGGCCGTACCAGGGCATTTGGGGGCTAGATCAGTTTTGTTCATCACGAATTAAATGAAATGTTATTGTTATTCAGGGCAGAAAAAGAAACTAGGGATTTCAGGAAGTGTATCGGTTGGAGCACATATGGAAGGGTTTGTATGGAATGATGTCAAATTATACATAATTTTAAGAAAATTTTGCTCTACTTTTATTATGTTCTGAATTATAATGTTATTGTATAAGTATTTATTCATTTGAACACATAAATATTGGTACAAAAGGGTACCGAATACATATGGGCCTCACAAGTCACTTGGTTTGTGTCTGGACTGTGATGCTGCCCGGGCGCCCAAACTGAAGCAGGTGGTTTTCTTAGGGGGCCACACCCCGAGCCTTTGACCTGAAGATCTGATCCACAAGGCAGTGGAGCATCGTGAGGAGATGTAGTTCAATGGTAGCCGGTGACCAACGATTGGTTCATACGCCATTTGTTCCTTCAGGATACTGGAACTCATGTGCACCATTGGTTTAGAATTAAGGTTTTCCAACTTCCTAGTTGGATCCCCCATATCCATCGACCCCGTTAAAGCGCCGGACATTCGCTCTTCGTTCTCTCAATTTCGTGAACAACACCCCCGCCACAAGAAGGCAGTGAGTAGGACTTCCTCGACAGTGGCTCTATACGCGAGGCCATGTGAGAGCATTTCAAGAGTTAGAGCTAACTCTCCTCACTCTCGGCTGTACCAGGGCATTTCAGGGCTATTGTTTATTGTTCCTATAAGTACTTGGTTTTTTCCTAGATCTACCGTTACTTTTACATGGTCTTTACATCATACACTATGTGAGGTACTTGTAAAGTAATATCAAAAAAAGTGTTCAGTGTGCATTAAACGATTTTAGACGGTTAATCTTACTTACTAAAGTTCTATATTTACAAGCGAAATTTTGCCCGACTTTATTGATACTATTTACATTTGTATTACTGGATTTCAAAAATCAAGTCTTACTTGTATGTACATATTTTAAATTGTTGAAACTATTTTCTTTTATTTTCAATATAGGCTAATCCCATTAATAGCGATTCAAGTACACAGAGAAAATCACCTCATTCTGACCCATTGTCTAGTCGGGATTGGTTTTCGTGTATTCGTGCTTTGCATGAAATTATTCCTGATCAATGGATTACCTATCCAAAAATTTGTACAATATCTTGTAATACTAGTAACGATCCATCAGATGAAACTGACAAACCTCCACATTTACCTGTATTCTATGGTCACTTGTTATTACGTTTATTACCACTGTTAGAAGTTGTTATAATGCAGTTCTTAATGTGTGAAGTGCCATTTGTTCTATTGATACCATTCTGCCGAGTTATTGCTCCTTTATTTCGTTATCACAGTAAGTTAACATTTTTTAGAGAAAAACTAAATCTGTACTTTTCGATTTAATAACCAGTTCTGTTTCACTAATTTTTTCCATACTTTTTATTAGGATCTTCCTTTTTGCCACTCGAAACTTTTTATTCGTGTCATTAGTATGCCTAAAAGTGGATTTCTATTCGGTATCGAGCTATGAATTTCGAAAACATGAATCAGTTCTGTCATAGACTTGATATCAACCCATGGTATAATTTTTTCAAAATAATACATGCTTTTTAAAGCAATAAGATTGTGCAGCTTCAGAAAATGAAATCATCAAAAAGAAAATTTTCTTCTCTGAAACGTGCTGACAATTCTATGTTGTACCAAAATATAATATTGAATAAAGCCATTAATAATATTTACTTACGCCTGTTACTCCCAATGGAGCCTAGGCCGCTGACCAACATTCATCAACCCACTCTGTCCTGGGCCTTGCTTCCTAGTTCTATTCAATTGTTGTTCATTCTTCTCATGTCTGTCTCCATTTCTAATGTGTTTTTTGGTCTTCCTCTTTTCCTTTGGCCTTTGGGATTCCATGCGAGGGCTTGCGTTGTGACGCTGTTGGGTGCTTTCCTCAATATGTGTCCTATCCACATCCATTGCTTCTCCCTGATTTCTTCCTCCGCTGGGATCTGGTTTGTTCTCTCCTACAATAGGTTGTTGCTAATGGTGCTCGGCCAACGGATCCGAAGTATTTTGCGTAGACAACTGTTAATAAACACCTGTATCTTCTGGATGATGGCTTTCGTAGTTTTCCAGGCTTCCGCCTCATACAGTATTACTTTCTTCACATTTGTATTGAAAATCCTGACCTTGATATTGGTCGCCAATTGTTTTGAGTTCCAGGTTTCCGCCCCATACAATAGAACTGTCTTGACATTTGAATTGAAAATTCTGACTTTGATGCTGTTTGGCAGACAGTTGTTTTGAGTTCCAGGTGTTCTTCAGTTGTAAATATTCTGCTCTTGCTTTTCCGATCCGCGCCTTCACATCTGCATCAGATCCACCGTGTTCATCGATGATGCTGCCCAAATATGTAAAGGTTTTTTCATCTTCCAAATCTTCTCCATCAATTGTAATTGGATTGGTGCTTGCTGTGTTGTATCGGAGAATCTTGCTTTTCCCTTTGTGTACGTTGCGACCTATTGCTTCTGAGGTTGCTGCATTTGCTGTTTCTTTTGTGATAGAAGAAACGGATCATCTGCGAAACCTAGATCATCCATCTGCACCCTAAATGTTGACTGTATCCCATGCTTCCCTCCAGATCTTGGCGTCCTCATGAACCAGTTGATCACCAGGAGAAAGGGAAGGGCTGAGAATAAGCAATCTTGCCTGACACCGGCATTTACATCGAAGGAGTCTGTCAATTGTCCTCCATGCACGATTCTGCAGTTAGTGATCCGCTTGTCAAATCAGTTAGGTTATCAACTGCTTTGTTATGTTAAACATATTTGAAAATTTACATTTGACTTTAAATCAGTGTTTGCCACTTAATAAAAATAAACCTTTCCAAAATTTACTTTTTAGGACGTCCAGTTAATATCTGCTATATATTATTACGTGATCATGCGGAATTTACCATGAAAGGTTTACTGTGTAAATTATCAAATCTAAGCTATCCAGCATATCGTTTACAGTTGCCAGCCACTAAATATCTGGATACTTCACCTTCGTCTGAATCAGATATGGACAAAACTTCATGGATTGTTGATCGTTTATTGTGTCAGTTATTTGTTCACTGCATAATTAGTAAACACCAGCAGCTAGCTATGAAAGTAGCGTTAAATCGTTCTTCAAAAGGTTTTGACCAACAATATAGTTCTACAAATGGTATATTTACACGACAAGGGTGGAATAATCTTCAGTTGTGTGTAAAGCAGTCAGAAGTATTTTACGACGTAATATGTAGAAATCCCAGTAATGTTAGTAGTGATTGTTGTAATATTGTTCATGATAGCACAGATCAGTCTGTTGTGAATATTTTACTAAATCCAGAATCATTTGAGACACAGTTCAGGTCAATGTTTATGACATGGTATTCCTGCAATATGTTTAAATACGATTGGGAATATTTATTTGGATTGATTGATCCAATATGTAAAAGTAAGTAAACATTTTTTGTCCATAATACGATGTTCTACTCGGACAAATTAGAATATGGGCATATCATTCTTGAGTTCAAAAACTTACTAAAATATGTATAAGTCTATCGGGTCAGCGATACGGACATCACTACCCTTCTTGTTTATTTAGCATTCTGATAATTTATTGCATTTGAGTCAATATGCACAGGTTTCATATTTTGAATTCCTGTTGACTGAAAAATACAGTTAATTGCGTTTGTTAGGAAAGTAATCTTCCCATCTGGTTTAGAATTTTGTGGAAATCGATCCTTTATACTTACGTTTAAAAGTTTCGACTGCTCGTATCACTTGGGAATAGATTTAGTCAGGTTTCTGATTAACTGTAATTATAGATGGAGAACTACCGTTAAACTTTTGTTTCCATGACTTCGAATTTCAAACATGTCCAATTCTTTTTGATGAAATTCAAAGTTCTTGTTGTATATCTAAGTTTGACCTTGCTGTAAACTGGTTCCGTGTATCAATATAATTATCTGTAGTAATACGAATAGGGCACATTGTCTCTCCTGGCAATTAAAATGTATGGGTGATTGACGGTACAAGCAAAAGAAAATCGGTAAATGGCTAATTATCCGTTGATATATTCATAAGCCCTAATTAAATGAAATATCATATACTCTGCTTTGGACAACTTTTTATGTGGCGAGAAGTAATATTATCCAACTGTTCGACTCAAAATAGACGAAGTGTAATTTCAACTAGTAATTAAATAGTTCGAAGGAACACGATATGACTACAGAGTTATCGCTCCAAATAGATTGTGTGAATTAGGATATAGGTAGAATCGATCTTGTCTTCGTATATGAAGATGCTTATGAAAGATTATTGATGACAAACTTTTGTGTCTTACCGTCGTTACTACTGTGCATTGGTGATTACTGAACACAAACGTTTGCAAATGAAAGTTGTCAGAGTTTCTATGTCCCTAAATATAAAAAAAAGATATATGGGGGGTCGTTTGTTTTTACCTTTTAAATAAAAATTATTAAACTTTTTCCGTACTAAGTATATAAAAACATAGAACTACACTGATGTAAACGTTTTTTATCATAGCTAACAAATAAATACAGGTGCTTACTTTCAAAGTACAAACTAATGTCAGTCAGTCAGCTGCAACGTAGGACCAGGCACGTATATGCATCGGTCCAAGTTGCCATACCGCATTAGCACAACAAGATGAACACCGGATTCATAGAAGTAGTTAATCCAGTGGTGGTAATATATAGAAGAAAGAGTGTGCATAAGGAGATAGTACAGGAAGATAGAATTAGTTCCTAGAAAGAAAGATTTGAAGTGATTTTAATCTCTTAGTTTGAAGAAACACAAAGAGTGTATACACCGACGCCATTGTGATCGATTCTGAGCCATGTCACCCAGAGTCTCTAACCATTGGTTACGATAGTCGTGCGGACTCGAACCAAGTAGTCAGCATCTACCAACATGGCTAAGAGTAGAAGTTAGTGACTTCAAGCACTGATGCCACGTTTTGGTTTGGCCGCCCCTAACTTTCTTCCAGTCATCCCTAACACCGGTTACCATTGCGCGCCGTGGTAATCGGTGTTCAGGCATACGCAGCATGTGGCCCAACCATCTCAGTCGATGAAGATTCATAACCTCATCAACTAATTTACCATCATTCCCTAATACCCTACGTCTAACCTCACTATTACTTACCCGGTGATCCCAGCAGATCCCAGCAATATTTCTAAGGCACCTGTGGTCAAATACTAGTAACTTACGAATATCTTCTACTCTTAAAGGCCATGTTTCGCAGCCGTATAGTAGAACGGAACGAACTGCCGCGCAGTATACTCGTCCCTTAATTGATAGACGGACATCTCGCCTTCGCCATAGATGACGTAAGTTGGCGAACGCCAAACGAGCTTTTCGAATCCGTGCTGAGATTTCGTCAGACACCAACCCATTAGGGCTGATCAGACTTCCAAGATAAGTGAATTTGTCAACGCGTTCGACAACTTCACCCCCTATCCTTAGTTCAGGTGTTGACGCAGACCAGTCCTGAAGCAACAACTTGCATTTGGAGGGAGAGAAGCGCATCCCAAACATTCTGGCATTGTTGCTCAGTGCTACCAAAAGACTCTGCATTTTATCAGCGTCTTCACCAAACAGGACTATGTCATCTGCGTATTCTAAGTCGATAAATGGACCTCCTGGTAAGAGATCGATGCGCGAGAATTCAGTCGATGAGAGCGTTATTTCCATCAGTAGGTCTATGATGAAGTTAAACAAAAATGGAGAAAGTGGACAGCCTTGACGGACACCACTTGAGGTTGCAAAAGCAGATGACAGTTCGCCATAAACTCTGACTCGACTAGTAGTGTTCGAGTAAAGAGCCTTCATAAGGTTTATGTACTTCTGAGGTACGCCTTTCAATGACAGACACTGCCACAGAACCTCTCGGTCAACAGAGTCAAACGCTGCTTTTAAATCAAGGAAGACCACTATTGTCGGACGCCGATAAGTATGCCTGTGTTCTAGAACCTGACGAATGGTGAATATGTGGTCGATGCAGCCACGACCAGGTCTGAAGCCAGCCTGATTTTCACGTGTTTGCAGCTCACGAGTCTTAGTTAGGCGTCCGAAAATGATCGAGGCTAGTATTTTAGATACTATATTAGTTAAACTAATCCCTCTGTGGTTGTCACAGGATGATTTTGACCCTTTCTTAAATATTGGGACGATAAGTGATTGTGACCAGTTAGATGGGATGACGTCTAACTCCCAGATTTTAGCTAAAATATTAGTCAACCTAATCGCTAAAACTAGACCACCATCCTTAAAGACCTCTGGGGCCAATCCATCTGGACCAGCTGCCCTTCCTCGTTTCAGATTAGCTATAGCCTTTTGAACTTCAGCTAGAGTTGGGGGACCTACTTCAATGTTCCATTCGCACTGTCTGGGAATAAAGGGTAGTTGTAGAGTAGCTGAAGGCTAACTAAACTGCTCCTTAAAGTGTTCCGCCCATCGTTCTAAACGTCTGGACTGGGAGCAGATGAGTGTCGTCTTTTTCCGAAATGGTCTGACTTACACTTGATTTATTAATTCCAGTTTCTTTTATTAGTCTGTAGAGTTGTCTTGTGTTCCCTATAGCCGCCGCCTTTTCCATCTTTTTTGGTTTTGTTGCCCACCACTGCTCACGATCGTTCCTTAGACTTTTGCTTAACCTAGATCTGATTAGTTTACGCTCTCCATCGTGTTCAGAACCTGATGGGATGAGTTTGCGAGAATCTATCAGTGCAATAGACCTTGAAGAAATCCATTGGTTTTTTGTAACCATTTGGTTTAAATCACTGGTAGATGTCACTGCTGTTTCCACAGCTGCTTGTATAACTTTCCAAGCAACATCTGGGTCAGCCTCGTTTTCAGAACTACCTAAGTGTGACCTCAGTTGCTCCTGGAACCTACTTTTGGTTTTCTTATTACTCAATTCGGTTCTAATGAGTCTTTTTTGTGTGGCTTTTTGGGTCCAGTGAGGCGCAAGCAGATGCGTGCTCGTATTAGGGCATGGTTGGAGTCCAAGCAGGTACTCCAGAATGAGCGACAATCTTCTATCGACCCTCGCCAATGATGACTGATGGCAATATGGTCTATTTGCGTCCATCGTTGGTTTTGTGCAGGGGGTCGCCATGTTAGACGATGTCTCTCCTTATGCTTAAAATTTGTGTTTGCTAAAAATAAACGATTGTCTGAGCAAAGTTGCAGCAGACGATCACCATTATCTGTTCGTTGTGCCGGAATACTAAAATACCCACCTAAATATCTTTCTGTTTCGTTTAAGCTACCTACCTGGGCATTAAAGTCGCCTCCTACGAGTACTATGTCTGAACTTTTAGCTTTCTGAAGAAGTTCAGACAGCTTTCTGTAAAATTCATCCGGACGGCAGTCAGTGGGAGCGTAGGCAGAAACGACGAAAAGACAACGACGTGTGTCCCTATCCTTTCGAGTTCTTACGGAGCCGTTTAGCCGAACAGCGCATAGACGACTATTAACGGGGATCCACTCTAATAGCGCTTGTTCCACCCTCATGTTTAGTGCTATGCCTACACCTGCAAGTCCACGAGAACTAGCCATCGGGTCGCCAGATACACGGAGGGTGTTTCTCGTCGGCACTCCGTTTTGCCGAGGTGAGGTCAAGTGAATGACCACACTAGGATCCTGTATGCGTGTTTCGGAGACACAGCATACATCAATCGTTAGAGATTCTAAGGTTTTAGCCAAGGAAGCCTGCTGACCGATTTGGCATAGTGTGCGTACGTTGAAGGCTCCAATGTGTAGTTTGGAGCGAGGTTTCAGTAGACCTGGACAGTGTTTTGCGCACTAGAATCGTTGGCTGTGGTGACACTTGAGGAGGAAGCCGAAAGAGGGAGTTTAGATTTGAAAGTCGATGTAAGAGGAATAATAGGAATTGAAGAGGTAGGTTGATTATGAATACAGTGGTCTTGAGTGCTGTTAGAGGTATGAGGGCGGTTATCACTTCCCGGTTGCCCACACCGTGGAAGGGTTCTGCAGGAGGTACCTGAAAAGGAAATTGGATTAGAGGCGTTCATAGTGACCTGAGAGCGTGACCGCAGTGCCAAAGGGACAGCTGCTTGAGGTCGGTCACACACGACCTTTTTATGAGTAATTTTTGTGTTAGCTCCGTACTTGTTGAGACCTTACCGCCGGAGACGGATATCCATGGGATAAGGCGAGGTGTGCATTTTTAGGGTCGACCTTTCCTAACCCCTCCCCTCCTTTTGGGAAGGCAACATCGCTGTTATGCTGGTTGTCTGAAGGAAACACCTTACTGCTGTCACACCTCTGTACAGTCAGCAGTACGACTTCGCCTTCGGATCTTGGTTTTGTTGCTTTTAGTCTTACCGCTCTTCAACCGACCTGTCTGTCATGGTAGGACCTTGAGGAACGGTTGTTCCAGCCAGTATAGCTCAGATTGCTTCATCACGATAGGCAAGCCCGACCACCACGTCAAGGTAGCAACAACGGTCAGTACAAACTAATGTGAATATAAAGTATCCAATTTATCATGTAATAAAACTTAATAAAACAGATTTATCCACTTTCTTCTCCATTGTAGGCAACCAAAGACATGGAATTTATGGACATTCAGCAGCATGGAGAATTTGGAATTATGAGGAGTCCGTATGCATTCAAACTGCAGGATTATATGCTGCCTCAATCGAATTAATGTCCACTTTTATGTTGCCTAATGAATTTACATCAGCTGTGTCTGATTTGCTAACTAATTGGTCAGTTGTTTTGAGCATAAAATCTTTATTTTTTATTTCACATTAATGTATATTTGATTGTATGTCAATTAGAAGTGGGTTGTTTATAAAAAAACTTGTCATACTTGATTTTATCTAAACGATTAAGAAATAATTTATAGTGTATTGTAGTAATGTCAGTACGAAGTTCTTAAAATTTCAATAAAATATTTGTCGTACCTTGAAACCTAGTCATTTATGATTATTTTGAAGCTAGGTAAGTCGTGTGCTCGAAACAAAAGAATGTTAAATTCCGTTGCTTGACTTTCTGTCTTATTCCATCAGGAAAACATTTAAAGACTGATAAAAAGAAAAACTTGAAATCGACTCGTGACAATACTACTTGCAGAGTAAACACATTCACATCTATCCCTTCATCTCTACAGACGTTTAAAAAAATTCACTTTTGTCCACAGACCCATTTGATAACAAGTTAATACCAATTTTACATTGATATATCTATGGAAATAAGCAATAAATTTAAAAAATGAACTAATTCATTATATTGTCATTAAAATATTGATTTAAATATTGTACATGGACTATTTTATATAGGAAGAGTTGAAACGAGAATCATCTAGCAATAAACATGCAAACTCAAATAACTGAAAATACGAATTTTACACGTTAAATAGAAGTGTGAATATCTTGATAGTGTCAGTACTGAACTATATATACATTTACATAATTTGTCAAATTACATTTTCAATTTCCCAGAGATTTCTGGTTTTTGTTATTTTGCTCTCATTTTATTGGTGTAAAAAAATATTTTACTCTCTTTGTATTAGTGCGAAACATATAAATTTCAATCAACTACAAAATATTACCGGTGCCCTAGCTGTTATTTTACCTGTGAGTTAATCATTTTCAAATTTAAATTTCGGTGAATTTCGACATGGTTGTGAAAATTTGTTTTTAATATTAAACCAACATTCAGGATTGAACATCTGTTTGGTTTTTGACGACTATGTAAACGAAATCAACTGGCTAACTAACTACCTAGAATAACGTACACAAGCGACACAGTCCTCTTATTCAGAAGAACCTATTTTGATATAAAACGGCTCGAATAAACCAGTAAGATTACAGTAAAATAAAAGAGCGATAAACTGATCGTAAAAAAACGGGAAACAGTTTTCTTAAATTGGATATATTTATTTCAGTCCAACCGTACGCGAAGTTCTTCACTTTTGTTTTCCATGAACAGAAACCATGTGGTACTTGCTTGGAAATCGAATCAAATCGAAACTTTTCTTTATTCGCTTTTTAGTCCCTTTTATTTCAAACATTTGAAAACCTGTCTCACATTATCACTCTTATATCAACTATTATCGTGTTGAACCTACTAAATTAATGTATTAGTTGTACTATTTGATGCATCATAATGATGACACTGATTAATTTTTATCGGGTGGAAATACTGTGTGCTGTTCAGTTTCTTTGAATTTGAATAGATAATAATGAGATTATGTCATTATTCTTCGTCATCGCTCATAAATTAGCAGCTGTTCATCTTCTATAGACGATATTCGTCATACATCGATATCTGTTGTAGTACTGTTATAAACTAGAGGGCATTGGTCGGCTGATTCATTCCAATATTGAACTCCTCAGCACTGCTCTCCACGCACCCCGTCTACGATTGAACCAAATACTTTCAGATCTCGCGATGTCCGCTTTATTATCAGACCAGTGAATTTTACGCAATCTCAGCGTTCATGATTCAAGAGTCTTCTAGTTCTCCCTTGTTTTAAATGATACCCCAATTAAAATCAGCCTCTGATGAATACCATCTATATATTTATTAAGTCACTTAAATTATATTTCAACTAAAGTTAGAAATTTGAATGTCATATTCAAAATTTTGACATGCAAATAATAAATTTATGTCAGTTCACAATTATTTACGAGGTTGTACTTGGTGAACAAAACGGCCATTTGACAATTTGTTTTTGTCTAAACTATGTGTATTTAGAGAAAAATTTCAAGCTTGTACATAATTTGGTTATTATTAAATTAAATTCAGAAAATAATCATATTACTGTTCGTTTTTTTTGTAATCAATGCCGTTTATTTTCAGAGTGTTTATCGATTTCTTCTGTTTAAATTTTGCGTCACCCTATTCAATGACCCAATTCTTTGTGACACCACACCTGAATCGAATTTAATAGATCCAGAAAATATGTTCACGTGCATCTCTGATGTAAAGTCTACTAATGATCATAATACTAATACTAAGTGGCGTCGTTCATCAAGAGCTTTACGTCATAGGAAATTGCTGGATATTAATTTAACTTCTGTAGATAACGTCACTTTAACATCTGAAACTACATCATTTAAAGACGAAAATGTTTCACTTCTAAAACCATCAAAAGTAGCTTTAGATTTCTTCGAAAAATATCTTCCATTAGATCAGAAAACAGACTCTGATTTGGTCGATACACTTAGTAATGGTGGTTGTAGTGTTATTGAGGTATCACATCAAAATGCTGAAGCACACCAAACTCTGAAGGACAATTTCAATAACTCGGACTTTTCGTCCGATGTGATGGAATACCTGATTAAAGCTAATTTATGGCATTCAATTTGGGCACACGCTAACACATCGCATCTAGCATCGTTACCTGGGTAAGCCTACTTTTCACATAATGTTTTCATATATATAATTGGTGACTCTGACGTACAAACACGAAACAATTTTCGACGATATAATCTAATATCGGAAATTCAACGCACTTGATTTGCTGTAGACTCACGACGTCACAGACTTATAAACGGTAACCACATCACTTCGATAATAGGAACACTTGCGGAATCCATTTCCATGAACCTAGTGATAGATAAAAGCCGCGGTGATTCATGTAAATTGTTGTTAACAGAGTTTCCCGAACTCGTGAAAGTAACGTACAGTAAGGCGGATCTCAAGCGCTTCGTTCAGCATCACATTATAACAGACGGGCCAAGAAGGTTGAACCCGAGAAGATTAAAATTTGCGAAACAAAAATTCGATAAGCTGATGAGACTAGGAATTGTAAGGCCTTCGAGCAGCCCGTGGGCATCCCCGTTACATGACCCCGAAGAAGAATGGAGAAACTAGGTCGTGTAGAGACTATCAAACACTCAACAAACAAACAGTAGCCGACATATATTCTATACCACACATTTACGATTTTACCAACAATATGGAAGGCGATACCGTTTTTCGAAGATCGACCTAGTTAGAGCATATTATCACATTCCTGTAACGCTGCAGGACATACCAAAGACAACAGTAACAACCACATTCGTGTTGTATGAGTTTCTGGACATGCCTTTCGGATTGACTAGTGCAGCGCAAATCTTTTAACGATTTATTGACCAGGTCATCAGAGGTCTACCTGTAGTGTATGCGTACATCGACGATTTACTAGTAGTCAGCCTCACTATGGACGAGCATCTACAGCAGCTACGACAATTATTCATGCGACTGCGAGAATATGGCATCTCCATAAACGCTGAGAAGCGTGAGTTTGGAAACGGATCCTTACATTTCCCAGACCACTTCTCAAGGTATTACATCGATCTCAGCAGAAGTCGGTGCCATCAGAGATTATCCGTTACCCGACTCACGAAAGAAGTTACGATCTACTTTGAACCAGATCCCGGGCCACAAAAGTGGTTAGTCCGATGTGACTCGAACATACAGCCTCCTGATCTGGATTCAGACGCGCTACCGTTGCTCCACAGGCCCACCAATTTTGTAGTTGCCGCTTCTCATTGCCTTACAATTTCAAACATCGTTGAGGTTTGTTTAATGACGGTTACAAGGCTGATTGATTAGCGAGGCAAAGCCACTACAGAATGACCGTCATGGTTGTATGATTGATCGTTTTCGAAACCGAACCTATGGCTGTGATGGTGTGCATATCAGAAGACAACCACTGATCAACCGAACAAGCACACATGATAAGAAAACAAATTTATCATTTACTCCCAAAATTATGCTCACAAAACTGTCAAATAAAGCTGAATTTCTTCTCATTGTATCATTCATGAGTTACAGCTGTAAAGGTAGCCAATCAGTCTAAAGGTTCTTTAATGTTTCAGTCTAAATCAATTTTTCTTCTCAGGTCAGTGGTATGTTGACTTCTTAGGTCATTGTATCAACATGATGTTTCGTTCTATAGTATCCAGGAAATAAAATTGGTTGTAGTTATCTCGGAAATATTTCTAACCCAAAGTACGTGAACTGTTACTTAGTATGTACACTAAGTTTTAAACCTTGTGAACCGAATCAAAGAAATGCGATTAGTTTCACTTAGACCGTATGCAGTATTGATTTATAGGTGTCATCTAGATACTATATATAAAAGTATACACTACACAGATGGCATTGCTAACTTCGCGATATGGCGTAACTGTCATTTATCTCACTTCCAAACTGGCTAACTTTACAAATTGGGGATTCTCAATATATAATCTTGTAAATCCCAGGTTATTCTTCAATTGCTTTTTATCTGTTATTATTGTATAATGGGAAAACTTCAAAATTTTGATCAAGGTGTGTTGAATATATACCTTGAGATTATGAGCCCTAGACGGAAATAAAAACTGTGCTTCTCGCTGCTGTGTTTTGCATTTGATTTCGCGAGGGTTAAATGACAGCTGATAAAATTATACTGTTAATGAGCCAAAACGTAGCTAAGCTATCGAAACTACGTGTTGCGAATAGTTTTGGCCTGCAAACTACCTGTCTGTCTTTTGCATAGCCGAGTTGAAACCATTTACTCTAAAAACAATATTTGATGTTTATTTTTGTAAGCTGACTGGTGATTTCATTCCCAATGTACTCATTCGAAGTGTTAACGTATGTTAGGTATACAGTGACCATCATTTCATATTAACATTTTGGTTGTATATTTTTCTAGCTATTTTGGAAATATTTTGTAAACCAGTAATAACAATCCGTTTAATACTTATCAGTGGATTGTTTTACATCTACTTAGTTGATATGTTACTTGTGTACTTCATTCAAACTAGTACTGAACACTAATTCCTTTCATTTCATGTTTTTACACTGTGCTGTATAGTTTTAGATCTTACTTTTAGCTCTCCATTTGTCTTCCAAGCGACATTTTTACGTAATGGAGTTCGCTTTATGATTGCTTGCTTTCATCCAGTTTTACTAACATTAAAGTAAACCTATCCAACATGATTAGCGTTTTTTAACATGTCTGTTTTCTACGGGATAGGGTTGCTGACCCCATGCTCAGTCCTCCTTTATCCAGGCTTGGAACTGGCGGTAACCCTAGAAGAGTTACAAGCTAAATTTGTTCAACATACTTACAGTTTTTATTATGTGTGATTTTGAGCATCCTAATTCTCATTCAAATTTTTAAAAGCATTTTTTCAGATCTCATCTTACCGGAATTACGCACTGAAGCTCAACTACTGATGGCATTTTATCTAGTTGCACCATTAATGGGATCTTTGCACTCAGAGCGTCCAGCAAAATTAGTCGATGTAAGTATTTGTTGTTTTTTGTGATTTGTTTACAGACTACCCCATACTTAAGTAGAAAGATGTTTTTTCATGAATTATATCTTTTTATTAAGGATAACATCAATTATGTTGTAGATGTGTTATCCCTTTGTGGCTCACATTTATACAATACCTTTTAAAAAATATATAGAAAAGATAATGACTCTTTCTTACATCTCACTTTCGATTACCTGTGTATTGAAATCATAAGTGAATTAATGATCTGCAACAACTTAAAAATTCATTGTTTTATGAGGAATCATTTGCTCATTACTTCTTCCTGCTCGTTCGATCGATAGAATTTTTCAACTTTCTAGTTAAGAATTTAAGCTCTACTACTGAAAAGTTCTGATTGATAACGAATATCATCATACTTTGTTTCACTGAGTTATTCAATTATCATCCACATATCAATAACCTAGCTATACTGACCTGCTTCTGATATGAGCAGTCAGCAGGTATCACTAGCTCTCACACACTGGAAGTATGACATAGACTGATTGGTGTGAACCTGTAACTGATATATTATGTCATTTTTTCTGACGTATCAGTAGACTACTTAATATCCCTTGTATAAATTAGTTCACTATCAGACATTATTTAATTTCCGGTGACTTTACTCATACTCACCTAACTTATATCAAAACTAAAGTTTATCCTATATGCTTCATAATTTTTCTATTTTTAGTTAACTGCTGAACTTTACAGAGCTGTTTGGAAAGTTGATACTATTTTAGCTAAATCAAATTATCAAAAATCCAGTGATTCTGAAATTTCAATGGATATAAGTAATTCAAAACAATTAAACGAACATTTACCTTCGGAAACCGGTATACCATTGGTACATGTTGATACAATAGCTGATTTACTGTATCATATTAAATATATGTATGTTGGCAACGGCGTACTCGATCAAGTTCGCCCACTACTGCCACAACTTCGACCAAGTTTACGTAAACGTCTCAAATTCATATTACCTCAAGACTCATCAGTATCACAGCAGAAACAAAATCAAAATGATTGGCATCCAATATTTGAAGGTCGCGTATATCGTGCATCTGTTAAACCACCAACGTGTAATGCAGACTTTTGAATTATGTACTTTACATTCATTTCTTACTGTTTATATACATAAATTAGTGTGATCAATGAAGACAATGTTTTAATTCCTTTGTGTACCACTGAAACAGATGTATTTATGGTGTATAATAAAAGTTATTTTTTATATCTATCCCTTCAATTGTTTTAACTCCTAAACAGTGCGTAGACCAATAATGCTTGAACGGTCCAAACAAATTGTCAATCACATATAATTTTATTTGGTATACTACCAAATCGTAGTTTCAGTGATCTAGCTAGTATATAGCTTTTCACAAAAAGTAAACTTCACTTAACATGTCTAGCCTGTTTCCATTTCCTTAGTTAAATACTATGTAATTCAAAATCGACTTAACATGGGTTCTATAGAAGATTAGAATAAGTAAGATCTAAGGCAATTTATGTGTCATAATTAGTTGACAACAGTTTGAAGATCGATAAATCTTCCGACTGACAAGATTTATGTAACCAGCCTGAAATAGGTAATAATAATCTCGAAGTATGTTTATGATCACCAAGATCGAAATCCTCTTATAAATAACCAACAACCTTAGATGAAACAATGATTTTACAATAGAAACAAACAAGTGTTTTTCTTAAACATAAATATTATTCACTAGTTATCGTTTTTCATCATACAAAATATATGTTGCCTATAAGATATAGCGAAATCTAACTACATAAATTATCAAATGGCACTTCATAAGTGGTAGGCATGTTGTGATTGGAGTAGTTTGCTTACCGGTCTTATTATTATTCATAATTCTTTCTTCCATATATTTTAAATAAAGATATTTTTGCAAACCTGGTTTCCATAATAGTTTCGAAGCAATCGAAAGTGAATATAAAATAAATTCTTGTTACATTGTAGTCTCTCTTCAACTAGGAACAGCCTGAAATTATGACTAGTTTTTAAATCATAAATACACTAAAATTCATTAAATGTATTTAAAACAACGAAATTACAGTTGTAGTCAACTTAATTTATGTGGAAAAATATACTGCACTAAATATCATAGGATTGTGAGAGGAGGGAATTATTTATCAACTAAGAGACTGCGTAAGGAATTCAAATGTATGACAGTGATTTTCATGTTACAATAATACGATGTCTGATATAAAGTATGTAGTTATTATTGAATCCTATTATATGATGTATAAATAGCATTAGGGTCAACACTAATATCATTAAGGCTCACCTATCAAAAGAACAATCCCAGAAAGCCCTAATACTTCCGATGATAAATACTTTGTTATTACGTATACTCTAGGCTCAATAACCTTATCAAAACTGTAGTTTTCAAACCTAACTTACTCCGCACACCATTCTGGATGAATTATTTTCTAATTTAATAACGAGTTATATGTTAACATTTATTAGCATCGATAATATTAAGGGTGAGTTAGATAGTATATATCAGCAATTAGGTGACATATATCCTAAAATGGAGTCACTCGCAAGCTTTCCATCAGTGAATGATAATCTTAAGCAAGAATTAAAAAGCATTATCTTTACGTAAGCTATTATTGTTGAAGGATGTGGTTCCTGTGGTGCTTGAAGTTATCTATCTTGCTTAAATTCGATTCACATTTATTAACTGAAGAAATTCCAACGGTTAGTTGGCACGCTTACTAACTTTATGAAGGCTCGGATACAACCACCAATCAAAGGCTTACGTCACAGAGTACAACAATGAAAATAATGATGTAGAAAATACAACAAATCCCGTTGCTTCAGTAGCAGGACCCACTGATGCTGACTTGTCACTTAAGCCTGTAGTGACAGACAACCAATGTATACCTCATGTAAACAGATCTGTTATCTCCCAATTTGACATTCGAAGCGCTTACCCAAATGCCTAGTTCTAAAGCGAAAGTTCTTCAAAACTAAAAAGTCTAAACCATATGAAAGAAAGTATATACAGAATTGTCTGGTTTCAAAACCAGTACCAAAATTATCACATACAAGGGCTCAACTATAAGAAAATATAATCTTTGATACCAAGTTTGACCATACTAATTGTAGGGATAGTTATATGGGCACGCAGGTAACAGTTAGTCGATTCACCATTACATCATATAAGCTGAACTTACGAAAAATTGGTAACATGTCAATGCCCCAGTTTCTAAATTAAAGCAATATACTTCGAGCAAATGACGCACAAAACGGCCACCACAACCATGTAAACAGGCCTAAAATTATACAGAATCCAAGCAGCTACAGTGTCTCACGGTTGCCTCCAAACGTTTTACATACTGAATCTGCAAGATATACATTTTCTTATCACTTTCCCGATAAGCAAGACGAACTACTAGGTCACTCACTATTAACGTAACCCCAACGAACAGGTGACTGTTTGCCAGGTCAGTTTCAGCAAATAAGTTCACCTTATCAAAATAATGGTATTTTTGACCTTAGGAAATCCTTGATCTCTCTAGCGCTATGGCTTGAGCAAGCCATAGCACATACGATCAATATGGATTTCTGAAAAGTCGATCTTTCACGACCTTTCACTTTGACTTCTTTAATCTAGACTTTACTCAACATAACTGAGGATGTCCAGTTTTAGTGCTACGCTTTGACATTTCCAAAGCTTTCGATATATATAGCCATTCGCTTCTAATAGGCAAAAGACCTCTGCTTGCTTGATTTAATCCTTTCATCAGTCACTGACACCAAATACTCAAAATCAACTCTTGCTTGTCGGATGCTGTCCCTATCAGAATTGGTGTAATACAATGAAGTGTCTTAGGCGCTTTGCTTTTTTAGTTTATATCAATGATATTTACGATTGTTTTTGTGTGAGTAAGTCTCTTCTATATGTAGATGATCTCAAAGTAGTTTATTCATTTTCTCCTTATGAGCTGAAGAATATGCAAAATTGCATCAGTATGGACTTAACAATGTAGCCCAATGGCGCTCAAAATGGCAGTAGGAGATGAACACAGCTAAATGTGCTTCGGTAATACATCACTCAACTTAGATCTTACCATAAATGGTAAGATGTTATCTAAGTTACGTATAGTAGTGCACTTAGGTATTTCTACAGTTTGTAATTATTGCCTTTTGTGTTCCGTGACTTCGATGGAGTTTTGTTCTCTGAGGTAAATGGTTCGTTACGTGCTCTCTTCTTTCGTTTTATTTTCGATGGTTGTAGATGATTATAATCAGTTCGTTATAGGCCAGGAAATGACCTTAAATGCACCATTCATACATCAACAGGATGTCAACTTAAAAAGAGTTTAAAATATCCTACGAATGCCTTTCATTGCTGTAACACATGTGAAAAATGTACTACCTAAATAATTTTTGAACTAGTAAACTTAAAACAATCTTATATCATGAATCTGTTCTTGATATTTAATATTATCGTCCATATCGAGCTGATCATGCCTGTAATTTGGTATAAGTTTTGTAATTATTATTTTCAGAACATATTATTATTATTATTATTATTATTATTATTATTATTGAGATCGATTAGTTAAATTATGTAGATGTTATTGTTTAGTTATTCTTATGCCCAATTATTGGAGTAATAGCAGGATAATCACAGTATCTTTTTACTTACATCGAACACATATTTTATTGAGTGACCTAGTGGAAAACAGAAGGATTGATGAGTTCTTTTTGATGTATTTGAAATGTTGAAAATATCTTTCTAGTACTTTTGTCTAATGCTTCCAGTGATCTTCATTTTATTTTGATTTCTAAAAACAACCAATTTGTGCTTTTAGCTATTTCTTTGTGCCTGATTCCATCACTGAGTTTAGAAACAGTAAATACACTTGAAATCAACATAACCAGGAGAGATTTCTATCTAATTATATACTGATTCGTGATGACAGTTTCAAATTTTGCTGAATATTCACTACTGAATAAACTGCTAATTATTTTTTCCAGAAAGAAATTATGTTTTCATAGCATTTCATTTCGTAAACATAGATCATTTTAGCCACAGTGAAGCCTTTAATCGTTTCACTTTTAGTTTCTTGACTTCTATTTTTGATGGTAAAACACCTATAAATGAGGTATTATTCCAACCGTCAGATTCCTATGTTTCTAAAATATTTTATAATAAATTACTTAGAATCATAGTAAATTCCTGTTCTAATTCATCTTTTAAAGATAACTGAATTGACTTGTTGGAGAATGTCCTTATTAGAACCCCCTTTAGAACTGGTCTGCGTCAACGTTTGAACTATAGTTACAGAGTGATGTAGTTGAGTAATATCGATCATTACATTTATCTTAGAAGTCTAATCAGCGCTGTTAGGTCGGTGTCTGACGAAGGCTTGGTTGTGTTTTGCCAAATTATATTGGTGTGATGTAGGCAAAATATCTATTTGACAACGAAAGGATGATTTCGCTTCGCACCATTCCAGTCTGTTCTTTTTATGGGTGTGAAACATACCTTCTAAAAATATAAAATATTCGTGGATTACCAGGATTCAACCGTCAGTATCTTTAGAGAATCGCTCGTATATTTCGAGACTTTCAAGTTAATGTTACTAACTTCAGATATCAGTTGTTACCAGTGTATTACGTATGCCTGTACTTTGATTACCTCAACGTACTGCAATCTCTAGTGAAGAAGTAGGTCGTAAGAAAGTTAGGTGTGATCCAACCAAGATGTGGTGTCTGTTCATGAACTATCAGAAACGTCCATGTTCTCTGTTATCATTCGTCAGCTTTCCACGGGTCAATTCCACTTTTTTCCATACATAATCTAGCCTTGTGAATTCATTATGAACTTCAAGGTATTCAATTTATATGTTATCTGTAGGTCGTACACAAGTTTAATCAATGCAAATTCACTCTATTCCGATTACATTTTTGCTAAGTGTTAATTACTATAAAGTATTTTCCCAATTGCAGACATTCACGTAGAAGTTCTGAAAAGAGGTGGTAGATGAACTAGATTTACTAAAAAAATATTCCTTTGGGATTTTTATCAAAGAAACTATACAAATTATTAATGAAAATAACGCTTCTAATATTCTGTATGACCATTTTCAGTTCACTGTATGCGTGCATCTATGTGTGTACAAGAAACCATCTATACTTGAAATAAATGTATCTACAATCAAGCGTCATACAATACTTGGTCCCTCTTTTTCTAGTCATTATATATG